TTCGAGCTCCACTTTTGGGCGACATTATGTGACGGTGCTTTCTTTTTACGGACAAACACAACCACCTCAGGTACACGTACCCGCTTCTCCCTTCTCTCCTCTCTCACCTCATCAACCTTTTTGGATAGCTTATCTCACCAAAATTCGCTAATTCTTAATAAAATCACAAAATCTTTACCTCGCTTCCGACTAGCTCAAATACTTACATACAAAATTTCTACTGTCTTACTTCCAACGAAAAATCAGGTATCTAATTCACTTTTTACTGGTGTTAATTACTCTACTTCTCATCTAACTTCCCGTTGAAAAATCATCAACTCAATGGCCATAATTTCATTCATTTATTTTAATGCAAAATCCAATGCATTCCAGAAAATTGCGATCTTTACAATCAATATTATAAAAATTGGGAAATATGACTAAAACCTTATTAAGCTATCAAAAAATTTGAATATTATTAGTTCTGTTGGCCAACTCACAATATGTTCTCTCCCTTGAAGAGGTGAATATTATTTTTTATACTGAATTTTCCTTGACACAAATTCCACTATTTCAAATATAATTAATTACCTTCTTTAAGGAAATTGATTCAATAAACAATCGATTAAAACATATCATAAAACATATAAATACACACAAATTGACTTTATTTTTTATTACAATGAAAAATAGACTAACCTTTAAAAAATCCAGGACTTCGATGAAGATTGGGAAGCCCTTTACATGCTCGTTGATTGATGGATGGGGTAGACTGCAACTTTTAGAATGCTAACTGATGTTTACAGTTGAAAAATCCTTGGCTCGCTGTTGAGTAGGTTATTTTCCTTGTAGAAGGTAGACGAGATTTTCCAAAAACATGTAGTTTTGTAGGTATAATCCCACAGTGAAATTTTATTGATGTGAACACCTTAATTTGAGTAAGTTCGTGAATTAATTTGCCTGATTTTTGGTCGATTTAAAGAAGTTTTTTCATAACAAACTATTACATTGAACTTTTAAAACACATTACTTTGATGAAAACGGCTATCCACACTTAAAAAACTTTGATGGTTATATTCCAAGGAGGCACAATAGTAAATTTTAACACAACGGCAAATGGGTGAAACGTTCAAATTTGTTCCGTCGGATAGATGCCAAAAATGCGCTCGTATTATTTTCCTTTAAGAACAAGGGTTCATATCACACCGCTATTATCGCTCGAATTTACTTAGCGCTTTATATTTGATACGTAATGTCCACGTCTAATTTTAATTTCAACACTATGTGGATGATTTCATAGCACAATACGCTTGACAAATTTTTAACTAAGATTCCGCGATTTACTTTTTCTCTTCGGGCGTGAAATTTACACAATGGAAAATTCACGTTTTAACTAATGGTGCAAAACTGTACTTAAACTTGGACTAATATCGACCGTCACTTAAACGGAATCACTTATTTGGTGCTTAATGCACGCGATTGAAAATTTACGATCTCTTCGGCCCGGCTACACAGTCATAATTTTCTTAAAAATTTTTTCCTCTTAACTCTCTCCTAACATATTCACGCCCCTTAATCGTTGCAAAATGGCTGATCTTTTTTATTACTGGTACTTCTCATACAATGGCCTCCATCTAAACCAATTAACTGGGGAATACTTATCAACTAATTTTTTCAGCGTTTGCAGAACCAGCTTTCCCAAGCTTGGCTGGTGACTCAACGATAAAAAGCTTATCTAAAGAAATCCGATATTTATTCGTTATCTGCATCCTGTTTTGCACTGAGAATTTTCTGTGATCCCATTTATTGCGAATCGCGGCACAAGGAAGTTTAATACAATGAACCCAACATGATGTCATACTACAATAGTTACAAAGCGAAAAAAAATTTTATCCCCAAAAGGAAGAAAGGTTTATCCAATTTTAGTACAAATCCAAATCGATATTCGAAAAATTTGCAAAATTTCGACCGGCCATTACTCCACCCGTTACAGTTTTTTTAAAAACTGGTTTAATTAAAAAGGGGAAGTGACCGCAACGCATATTACTAGTATCGAATTTTCATCCGATTTTAAAATCTTGTTAAAGTTAAGTATTTTTTTTTTATTATAATGTATTATATTTATGAATTTAACAAAAGGTTACCACAATAACATATTGCAAATAAAATTGTTTAAAAACATGTTAAAAAATAAAAAATTGGTGTGTGACGGTAGAGTGCCTGGAATACAAGCCGCATTTTCCTGCTGAACAGCTAAACTGAATCTTTGTTTTAAAAATTCAAAACAACGTTTTTCTTGAGTTTTTTCAAAAATTTTTGTACTAATTTCTGAAGCAATTTTTTTGCAGATGACCCCAAGCGTCAAGTGTTTCAATACAGAAAGGGTAGAAAATAAAACGGTGTAGTAGATTACTATATTTTACCATCTTTTTTTTCTGTGATTTTTTATTTATTAAATTGACTCATGTCAATAGTTTGACTTTTTTTCTAGGAATGAAATGAATAGTGTTTTCGTAAACTAGTGAGGGGGAGGATAAGAGTGATAACGATATATAACAGAGAAAGAATGAAGAGATAAATTAGAAAATATGATAGACGAGGAGAGGCTAGTAGTGGCGGGAGATTTAAACGCCAGGACAAGGAATAAAGGAAATTGGGTGGAAATAGGAAGAGGAAGATAGAAAGTCAAGAGATAAAGAATGCAACAAAGAGGGGAGTTGAAACTGGAATCAACAGAAAAGAGAGGTTGGAGAACATTAATCGCAAGAATGGAGAGGATAGGAAATACACTTACATAGGAGGGAGAGGGAGGTTGGTAATCGATTACATACTAGTAAACGTAAACATTTTGGAAGAAATTGAAGATATTATGGTAGGAAGAAGGACAGAATACGGTTACCAACCGATGGAAATAAGACTAACAGGGAAGAAAAGAGCAAGAAATGGAAAGATGCAATAGATGAAGGGAGATACAATTGTGGACAAGAGACACGGTGGAGGATTATAGAAGGAAATTAGAGGAGCAAGTATATGAAATAGGAGAGGGCATAGAGGAGAAGTGTAAGAGGTTCCACCCTGTATATACAACTTACGACGAGACATACATTTTTGAGAGTTGGCAACCATGCAATTTCTAGGTGGGGAAAAGTTGCCTGCGCCACCTAAAAAGCACGAATGTGGGTTACGTTTGGCTGTTGTTGGCATCTTGTCTTGAATGGCGGTCAGTAATCTTTGCATTTCTTTATATCGTATTTGTGTTTTGTATGCCACATTGTATATTTCTTGTGTGTTTGAATCTTTGTTTTTGAAATTTACTTTGTTTAACCGCAATGCATAATCACATATGTGATACCGTTATGCTATTGTTTCTAATTGTTTACGTTTTTGGTGTAATGCTTGCTTAATTTATGTTTATTGATGGTGATTACCTGGTCTTGTCCCTGAAGTAACATTCATATAAGTTTTGATCGAGGTTTTGATCATTATATTTTAATATGTAGAAATTACCGATTCGTTTGATGTATGTACTGACTTGTTGTTTGTAACTAACCATTTTCTCCGTGAATGAAGCAGTCACGGGGGTGGTAAAAACTGTAGTCAAAATTGAGCTACGACACCTAATTCCGTGATTGTCTTCGACATTCAACTATAGGCTCGAAACCCCGAAACTAGGGGCGGGCTACCTATCGTGAAGGAGCTCTTCAGTTTAGAATCTATGTGCAATAAATGAGTGGCGATTCGTAATTTCCACATATCTTGTTTTAGTTAATTTTCCATCTTGCTTTTAACAAAAGGACTTTATTACACCAAAGATGAGTCACACATCCTGTGTATTTCACCCTTTCTTAGAATCATGGTACCTGCTTACCTGACCCATAATTCCCAAAACTTGTTTTTAACCTATATATGTTACCTCTTGAAGTTTACCTGCTACTTTTTGTGATGTTATAATTTTATGTTACGCATTCACATCATTACAAACAATTAATTTTACAACACAATTTAATATTAATTTGACGGCTGGTTTTTTTTATTGGTAAGTCTTTTTTTTGGCAGCCTATTTCTATTTTGATTCGGTGAACTACCATTTTCAAGGTTTATTTTTGCAATGTAATTTATTTCCACTTAAATTTCCAAACTTTTACAATCATAATAATTACGTCATTATTAAACAAACTTTTCACAATTTGAGTGTTTAATTTTACGTTCCTTCCCTACTGTGCTTCAGGTCAAAACGTGGTCTACAACTAACGTAAGAGGTCCCTGCCTTACATGTTTTATCTTATCACGTGCCACTTTCCAAATTTAAGCGGGATTTTATTTAGTTTTGGAGGGAATGGTCATTCGGGTGGCCATTTTTAAACGTTGCCCGGTTTGATTTTATTTCCGTGTTCTTGTAGTGTGAAGTTAGCGTAGAACCTGGGGGTTAAGTACATACAAGTGGAAAAATATGAAGGAGAGTATTAAAAAGGCAATAAATAAGGTAAAGGAAGAGGAAGGGAGAGATAAAAGAAAGGAAGAGAGATACAGATATAGATCAATGATGGAGAGACAAAGAAAGAGAGAGATAATAAGGAAGTGAGAGAACAGGGAAAATGGTACAAAAGAATATGTAAGGAAAAAAGATGAAGACATAGAAATAATATAACGAAGAAATCATGGCTATAAACTTTTGGAAGATGATAAACAGAGAAAACGAGAAAAATACATTTAGTGAGTGAGAAATACAAATAGAGGACTGGAAACAGCACTTTATGAAAGTACTACAAGGGAAGCAGGAAAAAGGGTGTGGGATAGAGGATGACGGAAGAGAGGAGGTGAGATATCAAGTGAAGAGATGGAACAACAATTAAAGAGATTGAAGAAAAGGAAAGCAGCAGGTAGGGACGAAATAAGAAATGAGGCATGGATTATTAAGGAAAAACTGAGGAAACTAATAATAGATGAAAACGATATATTGTGTGTGTGTTTCATTATTTATTATCACTTCTCGTCGCTTTTAATCTCAGCCCGAGTCTTCAGGTTCTTATGAACCTTGGGATTCTTTCATTTCTTCTATCATCTGATTTGTTAGCTTCCATTTCTTTCAATTCTTAACTTATTTCAATTAATCTCCTTGGGTTCTTAGGGTGCTTCAGATTCTTTTGATTCTTCAAGCCCATGACATTCTTCAGATTCTGAAGTTCTTCCGGATTTTTGCTTTTCTTCGAATTCCTCCAGTGATTTAAGCCTTTAGACTCTTAAAGTTCAGGTTATTTACATTTCTCAGCAAGTCCTTGCATGTTTTCGATTTTTCGATTCTTTCGTCTCTTCGCGTGGTTCAGATCCTTTCGATTCTTCGTAGGTTTCAAGGAAACAATCGCGACAATCGGCTTGTTTCTGATACCAAAATCCTTCTAACCATTTTCCTGTTTTAATCTTCGGTCATTTATTATTTGAAAGAAACTAGCTTTCTGTACTAGCTACGAGATTGACTTTCGATAAATTCTTTTCTTTCTTCTTCGCGTGACGTAACAGAGTGTTCACGCGCTCTCTCCATGTGATAGAAGCAGACAGAAATATTAATTACAGGAATTTTAATTAAGGGTAGTCTTGCCTTAATTTTGTTAGGCAACCCATTTGAAATGTGTTTGTCTACATGTTAAGATTGCTAAAAAATGTATTTCACTTGGTAAACAGATAAGGCGAAGGTTGACCTTATGTAGGATCTTGTACGAAATGTCGGCGAAATCGAATTTCGAACTTTTCGTGACGGAAGTGTAACCAAAAAAAGACCTTTTATTCTTGCTCTTATATGAGTTTGAGTTTCGCTGGTGTCAGAGACCAACCCGGTGGCCCAGAGCCATTTGATTGATCTATGTACCTACCTTCTTAGGTAAAAGTGCCCAAGATGGGCACAATTACGCGTTCACCAGTTGTGAAGTAGGTACCAGTGACTTTGTACAATTAAAAAAATGAACAGCGCAATAGAAGAATAATACTTGCCATAGTGGTGCGACGCTCAGTCCAGCGAAGAGTTGTTCAAAATAATCTGGAAAGTACACCTGGACTAACGTTTCTTCGCCTAGATCTTTTTCGGTGAGAATTTTAAAAAATTTCGTCCATTGTAAGAACGGATATTCAATTTGCAAGTCGGATATTGTCTTCAAGGTGTAATCCTTCAGTAAGGTAGATTCTCGCCTTTCGTTTGGTGGTGGAAGAGCCTGGAATCAGAAACACAAGAGAAGAAATAGGATAAAGTAACTTCCAGATCGATACTTACGTTCGAATGATCTAAAACGTCCCATTCTATCGTCGTGCGTAAATCTTGCATAACCTGCGTTCGATTGTACGTGTTCGTCCAGTTAGAAAAAAAGCCTACGGACGCAGCAGCCGTTTGTATCGAAAATAAATATACGGTATAGTCTTTTTGACACTCTATGAACTGGTCGTGAATCTCGTTCAGATCGACAAATTCCTGTTGTAATTGTGTTCTGAACTTATCCAAACAGCGGTTTTGTAAATCAGTCAATTTCGCGGCTTCCGTTTTGTCAAGTAAAATGGATACCTTGCTTGGTACACTCAACTAAAACAAATTTGTACATTCTACACTACATTGCACTCCAATCGCGTACCGTCAGTATAAACTTGGAGGTTTCTTTGTCGATATCAAGCGCGACCTCCATTATTGGAAGCGATCGACGCAAGATGAGGTAAGCAAAAAGTTTAGTTATGTCTATGTGTTCGCTACCTTCGTATGTGTCCATAAAATTACCCACTTCTTTTACTAGTTCTTGCACTAAAACTCGATGAATGATGATCGAAGAAAATCAGTAACATAACGTCTTACCCACAATGGTCCGGAACTCGTAATTAAAAAGGTACTCGTGGGAGACGCAGCTGTCATAAAATGTCTTATAGGTCTGCAAGGATTGCGGAGATGTCTCATTAATATGATGCGTTTGGTCCCATATCCTTAGCCAGGTGTCCGAATCTTCATAATCGAGTTTCATACCCCCGCATGCAAACTCGTAGAAGTCCTCGCATGGATCGACCGAGTGATTCATGGAACCTAGCATGGCAGAAGCTACCGATTTGCATTTTGATGATAGACATATTGGTTCCGGTTCCTTTTCTGTAGTAGTGACTATTTGCCCCAAAGAACCCGGTGTCATCGGGGGTGTTTCTGTCGTATCAAAACCGGTTGCCTCAACTACGTTCATGCTATCGTCGATATATTCAGTTGTAACTTTGGGTGTTGTTGTACGGGCCGATGTTGCTGTTTTCGCTGCTGTAACTGTTGTTGGGGTTGTAGTGGAGCTTGTTACATTTACAACTGGTGTATCTTTTACTGTAGTTGAATTTGAGTCTGTGGTTGCGATGGTGGTCTGCGACATCGGTAACGTATTTGTTGTGGTCGGTGTAGTTACTGTTGTTGGGTTGGAGGTTGTGGTATCATTACCCGATAATCGAACGTCGATAAATGGCGTGCTTAATGTGGTATCGGGTGTAGATACTGTTCCTTGAACGGTCGAGCGTAGAGTTGACGTAATATCACCGATTTCCTTTGGTTGTGTAGTATCCCCTAATTTCCCCTCGGTTATGAAATACTCTGCAGTTGTGTGTTGCATGGCGTCTTTCGGCGTTGACTCTTTGGTGTTAACATGAGTTGTCGTTGTGCTTGGTGTCGTTATTGTGGTTGTTGTGGTCGGTGTCGTTGTAGGGTGAGTTGTAGCTGACAAATTTTTTTCATTTGTTTTATCAGTAACTGGTGGAGAGCCATGATATCTCATATACTCCGTACCCTAAAAGAATACATTGTAATTCAGAGCTAAGATTCATGATTGGTATAATAGATTTAGGAGTATCTACACATAAATTTTCCCTTCTTCCAGTTCAATGTAAAACTCGAAATCAAGAATACCTGCAAACCTCAAACCATCGTCAAATCCACTTTTGCAAATTAGTACTATTGGTCGCCAAAGTTTCTGGGTCATTAGATTTAAGGCCGATTCTCACTTTCGTGCAAAGAACCGGCACGGCACATACTCGGCACGGGCAAAGTTTTTTGAGTTCAATTCACACTGCGACACGCTTGCCGCAGGTAAGCAGTTTCTACGTGAGTTTCAACTGTAAAAATGTTCGAAACTTTCACGTTAATTAAAATTGGTCTAATATTAGATGATGAAGAACAAGAAAGTACATATTGCAGAAAAAGAAAAATACGTTTTTGTGTACATAAAATGCATAAGAAGTATCTTTTATGACCGAAATCATTTTCTTGGACACATTCAATCAGCATCTCATCTTGTTCCGCTGAAAAAGTGTTCCTTTGCTGACCCTTCAACCTTTCTTGTACTATGAAAAATGAACTAAAGTCGGTGACCTGCACAGATTGTATTCACACTTGTCGGAACGTGCACGGTACATGTCCGGCAAATATTGTTTCGGAAGAACGCTGCGTGCAAAGGCCGTAGCTGGCCGAGTCGTTGCTCGCATAGTGTGAATTATACCCCAAAAAATTCATAAGATTCAATAATATAGATATTTTGCCGAGTCGGTGCCTTGCCTGTGCCGAGTACGTGCCTTGCACGAAAGTGAGAATCGACCTTTACTAAGCTAGGGCTTTTAATATAAAATTAGTATATTCAGGCTAGGGTCAACCATTTTCCTCCAAGTGGCTCTCGTTGATCCAGTGACCCAGAGTTACAGTGACTCGTATTACGTTTTGGGTATACACCGTTGACATTTAATTTTACTGCTCTGCATTTTATAAGTTTCAAAAACAGACATAGTTCCAAACGGTTCCAAAGTTAATGGTACTTTGCGCCTTGCGTCTTAGCTATTTGAACTAATAAACAAAATAAAAAACCCTTTCTCAATGCATAAAGGCAGAAAATCGATTCTTTCTATCGCGGGCAAAGACGTAAATTTCGACACCAGAAAATGCAATTTAATTGATTGTGGGTTTCTATTGCATAGGGTTGTTTGGACCAAGTTAAGTAAAGCGACCCCTCAGATAGTCTGCCAAAACTACGGGGATTATGCCCCAAAAAAAAAGGAGCAATGACATAGATCGTTTTTGATGGTTATGCTGTTGGGAATATATCGGTGTACTTTGCTGCACTCCTCAACAAGTTTTGTCTTTTGCAAGACAACTTCGATCACATTATTTCTCACGCAAAATTTCTAATGATACCAATAAGATGAACTTCATAACCATGCTGAAGAGTGAAATGGAAACCAAGGGGATCCAAGTGAAGCAGGCAGTAGAAGACGCAGATGTAATCATTGTGGAGACCTCAGCTGCTGACAAGTATGATGGTATCATTATAACAGAGGAAAATATTGATCTTCTGGTGCTACCCACTGCCTTTGATTCTTTTTAAATGAAACGTCTATTTCCAGAAGAATGGAAAGGGTAACAGCCCTGCTGTGTTGCATTCCTCCCACTTGTTCAAATACGAAACCCTGCCTTTATGCAATAAGTGGGTGTGACACCACCTCAGCACTCTTTAAATGGTGTTGGAAAGAAAAAGGTAATGAAGACGTATAGTAAAAACCCTAGCGTTTCAGAGATGTTGTCGACCTCACGGTAACTCAATCTCAAATCGTTGACGTTAGAAAAAAATTTCTTGTGAAACTGTATGGTGGGATCATAGAACTTGATAACATCGAAGACCTGAAGTACCGCATTTTATCCACAGCCATGGTAAAGCCGATATGTCAACTTTTTAGACTGCCACTAACTATAATACCACTCATTCAGAACTTACCGGACGTGGATGGGAAACCAAGGGTGATATCAAAAGTTGCCTTCTGCATGGGGATGGAAGATAACCAAACGAGGTGGATCTTTTTATTTTTAACAGATGCCGGTAAATAAATTTGATGCTTCTATTACTTTAATTCTTGATTACTAATGCTTGGTTTTGAGGTAAAGTTAAATTTTCCCGACACGGTGTTATGACTCTTTATCAGCGTTTAGTTTTAGTTCGCTATTAACGTTGCCGCGTAGGAAAACCGAAACAGAATCAACGCAAATCTTGCGAACAGCGTCCCCTCTCAGCCAATCCGCGAGCACCTATTGCGTTATTTTGGCCTCGTCCAGACGGATACAACGAAGCGACCATCTGGCTAAAAACCCACGCGTTCTAAATGCGCCCGTTTGTCGCTAATCGTTGACCGTTTACCAGTATAATTTAGCCAAACAGCATTTTCATAAAAATTTGGGTTTGAGTTTTAATTACCCTGTTCTTTAAAGTTGGCCCTGTATCGGACTGAATGTCAATACTTTTGAACCTATTCGCCAATGATGGTGCCAATTTCTCAACCAAAGTACCCATGTTTTCAGACGCATTCTTGGTAGTAAAAATTTATCTTATGAAAAACAAAAAAATTGGTGGATTTATGTAGACCCAATACAAACGGATTAATATCTTAATAATGGTTCGTTTTTATCTGTTAATTGTTTTAATGGGAAATAACTGAAAAAAACTAAGCGAGTTATGGATAAATATTGTTGGTCCCTATTTTTTAGGGTACCTATATGTACTTCTAAGATTCTTTGGAAGTTTGACCGGTTTAAAGTGCTTAGTTTAAAAAAAAAGCATAAGTAATTGTAAATTATCAAATTGCGTTTTTTAAAAATAATTCAAAAACTATCAACGATACGCAACATCTTGTGGAGTACAAAATTAGGGCGTTGTGCGCGGGTGCACCATACTGTTGAAAATTTTTTTTGTATCTGTTCAAATAACATCAGAAAGCGAAATCGGCAAATTTGAGATTTTCTGGGATATCTTCGGAAGTAATCGGAATTTTCTAGTTTTTCTTTAAAGCATGATAATAAGTGTTTAATTGCACATATTTTCTCGAATTTGACCAACGTAGTATCTTCTATGGTTTCGGAGATCTATGGTGGACATCCTTATCGTGGACATTGTGTAGATTTTTTATGTATATGCATGCAAGTTTGGCATTTCACATCGCATAGAAATGCAATCTCTAGTAGGTAATAAATAAAAATACGGAAATTGACAGTTATTTTTGTTTACACTGAAAACAGTTGTTTACTTACATTTTAATTGTATCGTTTTTCCCTCATATCCATACTACTTTTAATCTTAACAAGATTCTTTGGAGTAAAAACAAGTTATTAAATCTTGTTTGCATAACTAAGTCGGGAAAAACGCAGACTTAATTAGTAAACTGCATGCAAAAGATAAACATTGGATTATTAAAGACATAAAAAAATTTAATTATTAATTGACAACATAGGTACAGATTATAAAAAGAATGTAAATTAATTAAAAAGAATGTTCCCAGTTTACCAAAATGTTATTGCGGGAATTCAATTAGTAAAGAAAACGCCCACTATATGAAAATCATATGGGAACATCGTATTAGTTCTAAGATTTTATAGTCGTTTACCAGTGCTATTAGAAAGATTACAAGACACGCTATATCAAATAATAATAATAAATAATAAATTCAGACAAACCCATGATGCCCGTGAAGATTGGCGGACAGGCGGGCAAATTATCTATAGGTAATGATTTTTTCCTAAATATCTACTAATTTGTGTATCAGATGACAAAAATAATTGATACGTTTGGCATTTACCTTTTCTTCTTCGCTTCTTCCTTTTTTGGTTAACAGCAGTGAAAGCAATAAAATGGCACAAATTGCGATAAAAACCAACAGCGCACATAAACATGTCCTAAACGATGTGTCTTTGGCTGCATTTGCACCGATCGCATACGAACCACTTGCCATTTTCGAAGGACAGACCTTAATGAAAATGTGCACTTCCAGCAATTTTGTTATTCCCTACCGTTATCGTCATCTCAAAGGAAACAACGGTCCAACGCAGGATATAATTGACCGCATTTTATCAAGCAATTACAAAAGGAGTTTTATATGTATGTCATTTAGTCGCACCTTTTCAATATCTATCTTCTATCAAATACGCAATCTTTAAGGAAGATCGTTACGTCCGTAAACTGCAAGTCGCACGCTGATGCTTCGTAGTTTCGTATATTGCAACTCCCTCCCACTCAGGCACCCTTTCATAAATTTTACTTGGCTAATAAAATTGGCTTATCGCGTCAATTTGCAAATTCGTATTACCACAGCAAGGGCTTACACACTTTGGGGCTCAATCTTTCTTCAAAAATCCACGACTAATAATATGGCCGACTTTCATCAAAAGGTCTTGTTGGGAACGGGGGGGGGGGGGGAGGGGGGGTGTAAGTGCCTACAGATAACAAAGAATAGATATTGACAAATTGTTAGGTACTTACCTATTAGACCAAAATGTGGTTCAGTCGTTTGTTTATACAACGGCAATGAATTACATCCGAATACCAGAGGTCTTGAGAAATGTAAGATCTGGATTTGAATAAAGATTGTATTATTTTATGGGTTAGTGAGGATTATTTACTTGGTTAAGTCCAATAATAGTATAATGGATGTAGAAATCTGAAATAGTATATTAAGATACAAGTGTATAATCAAGTCTTTAAAGCACGCGCAACGAGTTAAATGGCACGACGCGAAGACCAAGTATACACGTGTATCTTATACTATTTTTTAGTATTCTTTACTATTTTTTCTTATACTTTTTTTTAGTATACCTGCAGTATAATTTAAAAATAGGAAATACAATGAAATCATATTGACGTTATTAATACTCGAATACATGTGTAAGTGGGTTGGGTGTTGGTAATTTCACGATTGCCATGGAAATGTCACTTGACGTTTGCTTATAAAAATCATCGTCTTTGTGAATAAAACGATTTCCGTTGAAAAAGATAATACACCGTCCATTAAATCGCTTGTTGTAAAATCTAAATAAACGTTGGTAGGTGTAAAATCCAAATCCAGTAAAGCCTATTATAAAAGAACATGAAAAGTTGTTTCCATGGATGACTAGGAAGTTACTTACGAATAAAGTCTTAAATGCTGGCATATATGAAGGAAATGTTAAAGGTATTTAAATCTTTTATCTTTTGGTGCATTCATTCAAAACTTCAAACAATGCTGCGATTAAAAAGTGGAACAAATTTGGAAGCATACCCTAAATTACGCGCGTTTGTGAAAGTTTCAAGGTACAAGCCAAAGAAATGTTATGCATTTACAAAAAGCGACCTAAGAGGATTTTTTATTTCACCCAGTCTCAAAAGTCATACTTGAAGTATCATTACTTAGCAACTTTAAGGGCCGGTTCTGCAATTACAGCTATTCGCATAATAAGATATTCTTGGAATAAGTGCCCTAGCAACAACTATCCCATTGGTTGACCCAATGGTAACCAACGCAAACTGACAAAGTTTATTCTAGGTATAGCTTATTCTCGGTATATACCTGCATTGTAGAATCGGCCCTAAAGCACGTTTGTTTTAAAGGCCTTTTTTCGCACGCATTTGAGTGTTTAAAAAGGAGATTGTGATTCAGGTATAATAAAATAGCTATTTATACAATAAGTTGCGAAATGAGTGTCTTTTAGGCACGCGACGTGAAAATTGGCCAACGAGGCAAAGCCGAGTTGGACAACACATCTGGTGACTAAAAGACATCGTTTCGTAACGAATTATATACCTACAAGATTTTTTGTGAATGCGGAGAATTTAATAATTGTATTAGTATTTTTAAACATTTTGAAAAGTAGGCAGGCAATCTGTTTCTAAGACATTGTTTATAAATTATTTAATGTCAAGTGTGACGTTAAGGTTGAACGTAAGCGTGTTGCCGTCTTTCCCGCAAAGTTTTGCGAAAAAATTACTTCAAATGAGTGATATTGACGAGCCGTTGAAGCTACGCTATCCACGTTAGTACCAGAAAAATCGAAACATTTATACGAAAAGACCTACGACAACTTTGAAACCTGGGCCAAAGAAAAACATACTGAGAACTTTATAGAAAAGGTATTACTAGCCTATTTCCACCACCTTAAGACCGTCAACTGTGTGGAGCAAATATTTGATGCTCCGCACCATGATTTATCTGAACAAAAACGTAGATATTAACAAATTTTACAAACCTTATTGCATTCAGTTCAAAAGTTTTTATTTATAATAAATAGATATTTTCATTGATTTTAATGTTTCATTTTTATTTTTAGGCACTACTACCTAAAAGAGTGTCATTTCGAAATTCTAATCAACATCAAAATTTGTCAATTTCGAAACGCTTTCACAAAAAAATAATTACCTAATTGTGGGATTTGTCACAATCTTTAATTACATATGCGGTGTTGTTATGGCGGCAACATCTGACACTTCCATGAACCGGCTTTTTGCTGTAACCCCCCCCCTCCCCCACCACACTTTAAAATTGCAATATGTATGTACTCCCCATCGAGTAACAACTATAAAAACTATAAACTTTTCTTTACAGAAATACCCACAAAATGAAATGTATGAGCTAATTTTTGAATAAAACACAAAATAAATGCATTTTCTACATTTGAGGTTATGTTTGTTTATTTTATTAAATGCTGAAAATAGTCTGCAGACAGTACGGCTTGCGTTGAAAATGTTTGGGCCACCGTCTAAGATAGCCTGGACATAATGTGGCGGAGCTCCATCTTGTTGAAACTTTAAATTTTTTTCGCCTAGCAGCATGTCTCCATTGTCGATTTTAGCGAATTTTTCAAAATAAATTCGTCGGTGAAGCGGACGTTTTTGGAGAAATTAGGATCTCCGATATTGGTCATCTTTGCATGTAAAACTTGTACTTTTTATGGGCAAAACTTCTTTTTTCAGAATTTTAAGGTTGATAATCGATTTTGCGACTCTTGGAATTGATGACGTAGGGATTTGCCGCAAACTGACAGAGCACCTCAATTTTACCCACTTCATTCAAATTTCTCGGCTAAGTAACTGTCTTGTTGCGAGCGATCCCGTGTTCTGAAATTCTTATGGGGACGCGCTTTATGGAAAACACGAGGAGTTCTACGCGCACATTGGTTTTCAAATCTATACAAAAAGATTGTTTCAGTTCTTTCAGGTGTATCCCATTTTAAATAATGTCTCAGGTTGGAATCAACTAAAATATTACCACAGATTTAAATATAGTATATTTAAATCTGTGATATTACTTTGCGTAAGTACGCGCTATTTCGAATCCGCATACAGTTTTGAATATTTCCAATTCGCGTTTTCGCCTTGCGAGAGCTCCTCTATGTCTATAGCAAAGCAGAAAACCAAGGAAGGATTGTAGGGTTGATTCTTTGGGATCTAGAAACCGCAGAAAACTATTAAAACTTTGACCCCACCTATTCTATGCTCAAATTACTACAGAAGATCTAAAAACTTCATAATTTCCAGATTTCATACGAAGAGAGAGAAACAGTGTTATTTTCTGCGGATTTGTTGTCTGTATATATTATTGTTGTGTGTTCAATAGTTGTGACTAATATTATTATTACAGCGCGAAAAAGCACAATTCGATCGGTTGAACCTTTGATGCGTACTTTTGTTTAGGAAAGTATCGAGGAAAATTCTCTAATACTTTGTAGGCGAGTTCTTGCGGCACAATGTGTTCATAATTCCAGTTCGCGAGCTCTTTGAAAATCGCGGGATTTTTTGTAACCGTGAGCCCTCTTTTGCAATGGTGAACGCTTTGTAGCAGAGTTGGACTGGGTCACTGGGTCAACTGGGTCACCTGGGTCACTAAATTAAACTGGGTCACTGGGTCGCTGGGTCACGTCATACTCTTTTCAGTTAGACCCAGTGACCCAGTTGACCCAGTGACCCAGTTTGACCCAGTGACCCAACTTGACCCAGTTTGACCCAGTGACCCACCCAGTGACCCAGTGACCCAGTTTGACCCAGTGACCCAGTTTGACCCAGTGACCCAGTTTGACCCAGCGACGCAATTTCACCCGGGGACCCAATTCGACCCAGTCACCTAGTTTGATTGAATAACGCAGTTAAGTCAGTGCCCTCGGTTCAAGTGTACAGATTATGCAATAAATGAAATGCTGGTTTGTTGAAAATAATACTCGATTGCTTGACAACTGCCATTTCTGTGATGTTTGCTTTAATACTGCCGTAAAAAACTTTCCATGTCCCGAATTGTATTAGAATAATGTTATTTCTTTGCTTTAGGGCTTACCAGTTTGCTTACAGGTATTCATTCACATTTAATTTTTTTCTACTAGTAGCTTAATCCAAATAAATCTTTTCTCTAAATACTTTCATTGACTACTTGACTACAAACTATAAACAAATGCATTTGATTTTTTTAGGTATTAGTTCTCTTGAATGAAATTGGGCTACGTGCTTGTTGCCGAATATTATTGAGGAAGTTTTTTTTTTAAATTAAAAGTTACTTGAAATTGTTTTGGATGATACCTAACAATAATTTAATTATTGGGCTACCGGGTCAGGACGGGTCACTGAGTGAAGCTGGGTCAAGATGGGTCACTGGGTCAAGCTGGGTCACCGGGTCAAACTGGGTCAAGCTGGGTCACCGGGTCAAGCTGGGTCACTGGGTCAAACTGGGTCAAGCTGGGTCAAACTGGGTCAAGCTGGGTCACCGGGTCAAGCTGGGTCCGGGTCAAGCTCACCGGGTCAAACTGGGTCACCGGGTCAACTGGGTCACCGGTCACTGGGTCACCGGGTCACTGGGTCACCGGGTCACTGGGTCAGTAAACTAACTGGGTCACCGGGTCACTGGGTCACTCTATGCTTGACCCAGTCCAACTCTGCTTTGTAGTACTTATAGCTGAAAACTAATCGGTAACCGTAACCGATTGAGCTCGATCCAGCTCTGAGTTCTGACTTTAATTATGTGGATCCGTTGAGTGAACGTTTACTCAACGGTGGATGTCTACTTTGGGGTAAAATAGTAACAAAAAAGTTTAAACATTTCACACAGGATCAAGTTTTTGACAATGTTTGATTTTAATTATAATTTAATGCATATTAATTACCCACCCACACCTCTTTTGTATTTGTTAGAATTAAGTATAACAACAGCAATCATATCTAATTAGTAATTGGATACAATAACATTTTATTACTCCAAGATCTAGCATTCTAAACTACCTGAGTCGGCTGGGTCACGACTAAATAGCAAAAGTCGTTTGCGAAACTGGATCCATTTTGTTATAAATAATTGAAGTGAGCATTTATTTTTCCGTAAGTAGATAGCGATCAAAATGAATGATCGTCGCGTCACCTTTCGAATTTTTGTTTACATGGGGACTCGTAGGTACTCGAAAGGGCAGGTACTCGACAGTCACTCATTTTTGATCGCTCAATATTTTTGTTACTGTCGTACGCAGTACGCTATTGTATGAAATATGCAAAACACAAAACATATTTTCTACAAAATGGACAAATATTTTATAAAATATAAATGCTCCCAACAAATATGGTTATTACAATAAATATAATCCTGTGTTCCTGTCTTCCCATTTCGTTGCCCACTTTTTATTTACTCCAAAGATAATATTACAACTATTATCTTTGTAACAAGTCTTAATATAATATTCATAATCATACTCGGAGTAATTAAGGATTTACCTTAGAATTTCATACCGGGTGGATACTTTCAAACCGAACATAGGGAATTAACATGGGAAAACAGTTTTTCGCAGATTGTTGCTCCCCAAATTAACTTATGAGTTCATAATGCCACCATTGGAAAGAAGATTTTTGTCCGCGGTTTATGATATGCAAATTATTAACGTCTAGTTGCACGTTTAATTATAGCCCAGTCAATTTAGACCAAAAATGGGCAATCAGAGGAACTAAAAATACTAGTTCCAATTTTTTCAGAAATGTGTAGGGAGAGGTTCCCTGAACAAGAAAAAATAAAGTCCCTCCAAATGCCGCTGGAGGAAGGGGGGCTTTTCAGTTTATCGCATTTAACTCGAAAATGGTGCGTTACACTGAAAAAGTTCTTCAGTACAAAATGAAAGCTTATTCAATTTGCTAAACCTCTCGCCAGGAAAGATTGCCGGTCATAGAACACTTGATCCCGGTCTACAATCTATGTTTTTCTAAAGATGTGAGCGACTTCCGGGATAGTATCGTAGAAAAGTCTTTTTGTTCAACATTGGCACGATCCTATTTCGGAAGTCGCTCGCATCTTAAGAAAAACATAGATTGTAAATCAACACAAGGTGTGCTGTGACCGGCAATCTTTCCTGGCGAGAGTTATATAAGTTTGGTTATATACATTTTTTCGAAAACTGAACCGTTTTATGGTATTAATGTCCTCGTACCCATCGAATACAACTGCACAATTGGAAGCATAGTGATTTATTATATATGAAGCATACTGCTCACAGATGAAAGAGAAAGTGGTCCCAACATTCCACTTGACTCTGTGAAGGAGAAAGCCACCGTCCACTATACAGTGTAAATCGTTTTGAGGTTCACTGCATCCATGCACACAGGAAAAGCCTCATAGAGAGCAGATTTCTTCGTTTTCCTGAAGCATCCTTTGTGGAATAGAGTCATGGGGTATGGAGATAACTCGTACTTCAACAGGTTCGGACTATAGGGATGTTAATGCTGTACAGGTTCTATTGTGACGATTTTCTCCTAAAATGTCCGGGGGAGGATTTAGAAGCCAAAAATATACGAAAAATGTGAGTGAAAAACGATTTTGTTTAGAAATTACCACCTTTCCGGACTCCGGAGCCGGTAGCACGAAAACGGTTCAGTTTTTCGTAAAGATGTATATAACCAAACTTGTAGCAATTTTAATAAGCTTTCATTTTGTACTGAAGAACTTTTTCACTGTAACGCACCATTTTCGAGTTAAAAGCGAAATACTGAAAAATAGGTCGTTTAAAGCCCTCCTTCCCCCAGCGGCACCGGAATTTGGAGGGACTTTATTTTTTCTTGTTCATGGAACCTCTCCCTACACATTCCTGAAAAAATTGGAACTAGTATTTTTAGTTTCTCTGATTTTCCTATTTTGACTGGACTATTATTATTTTGCGAAATTAGGTAGTCAAAATGTGTACTTGGTTTAAAAAATCACGGTAGTTATGAAAACAAGGTACGATTACGATAACTGTCAATAATTTTAATTTGTACTACAAAACTTACTTATTCCATTGAGGAAAAAGTGTTTATGGTAAAAAACGTTTACGGCGGTGATAGTTACAGTAGAGTGCGAGATTTATTTTCCATGAACAGTTTGTCAATTTGACAATTCCGGATGCTTAAATCTACCGGTCATGGCTACATGATTTTCTGAGTTCATTTTATTTTGCGAATTTTTGATAAAATAATGAGAAAATACAAATAAAATAAAAATATATAAAATATAAAATAAAAAATCTTCTTTCCAGTGGTGCCATTATGAACCCTCTAAATTAATTTGGGGAGCAACAAGCTGCGAAAAACTGTTTTCCCATGTTAAATCCCTATGTTCGGTTTGAAAGTATTCACCCGGTATATTACATAGTCCTTTATAATCTCATCTTTGATAATCTAGATACCGGCAATAATTTCAAATAAGTTCCGATTTCCGAATATGCTGCCACCTACCGTGGAAGTCGATGAATCAAACAGCACTAATGACAAGAGTTTCATAACGGATGTCGCTTATTGCGCAACGATCAAAACAAAACAGAAACCAAAAGCACATGCTCATGCTCATGAGATTCGTGAAAAACCTAACCTTAAACCTTAAACTTAAAGACGAAAACTTTATTTTTGTACTAAGATAACAATATCATTAGTACTTGCATAATACACCAAGATAAGGTGCTCGTTCAATGATCATGTGTGCTTAACTACTCGCTCATGCAGTTGACCCAAGTCGATAGCTGAATAATGATTTCGAGGCAGCTTTACAAATTGTGCAAAACAATTGTCCGGACAAATCGTGCTGTTCACACCAGCGCAATACATTTTGAGGAGCCCGAACATCCATTTAAAAGAACTGTAAGGATTTTAACAGATGATGTAAGGAACTTCCTGAAATCACCTCTACGAGGGTTTTCACCTCCCTCAGATATTTTCCCTCGGCATGCTGACATTCTTATAATCGGTGGCGGAGCAGTTGGATCGTCAATTGCCTACTTTCTCAAGGAGAAAACCGGATTGCGTGGTGTTAATATTGTCGTCATTGAGAAGGACACTACCGTTCGTACTGTGTTAATGTTAAATTTGTTGGTAAAATTCATTTTACAGTACTCTAAATGCTCAACGGTGCTATCAGTTGGAGGATTGCGCCAGCAGTTTTCTCTGCCGGAAAATATCCAAATGTCTTTGTTCGGAGCCGAGTTCTTGAGATCTGTGAAGAAACGATTCGGACCGGATTCTGACGTTTATTTCACTCCAAATGGATATCTCATGCTTGCTACTGAACACGGTGCTCAGCAGTTGATAGATAACTCGAAAATACAAACGGAACTGGGTGCCGTTAATAAAGTGTTAAGTAAAAGAGAATTAAAAGAGAGGTAATGTCACGGCTGACAGTCCACATTTGTAATATTAGTTTAGGTTCCCGTGGATGGAAGTTGAGGATGTGGAGGCAGGATGCTTAGGTCTCGAAAAAGAGGGATGGTTCGATCCGTGGGCTTTATTAGGCATGCTAAAACGTGGCGCCACTAACATGGGGACTCAGTACATCAATGCGGAGGCTGTTGGTTTTAATTTTGAGGATCAGCAGGATGTAATTGTCGATGGGCAATTAACAGGTACTTACCAACGTTTAGACTCCGTAGACGTAAGTTATTCCGTCATGTGATTGGATTTAGCAACCTGTGACATAGGTGAAGTTGCCGGACGGTGAGGTAAAAACCATTCAGTTTGCCTATTGTGTAATAGCAGCCGGCGCAGAGTCGGGCGAGTTGGCAAAACTTGCTAAAATTGGAAATGGGGAAGGTATGCTCACGGTTCCTCTTCCTGTGGAACGGCGGTAATATTTCATAAGGTGTTTGTAGCATGGACCCATTAAGTAGATATGGACTTGGTTTTTTTCCATGCTCCTATTGGTATGGTTTTGAAACAAACAAATGAGAAATGATCTTATTAAATTGCATCATTGCGGCCATAATGCGCCGTATTAATACATAGGGGATCTATCACAACTTTCTAAACTGAAATGTAGGGTACTGAAAATCTTGTTGTACGTGAAGGAATAGCAAATACAGTGAAATATCTCTGCTTTCTAAAATATAAATCCTATAGTTATAAACATAAACTTGTAACGTTACAACTCAGTGCTAATCTCATACCTTATCTCTGGTATAATAGAATATTCTTTTAGTAGACTTCGGACTAGACACTACTAAATTATCAGACTTCCACAATCGCAAACTACTTCAAATTAGCAAATAGTTATAGGTAGTCATCTTTATTGAAAAGTAATTAAGTTGTTTGATTAGTCAGCTACTGCTTGTGTGGTCATTTTTTATCTTACTATGTTAATTACACTACAATTCGTCTCTCTTATGTCAGGTGCAGTTAAATCCTAATAAATCATCACCTGAAACTGGTATCTTTTCTAGGCAAAAATGCTTGCTTCAAAAGTATCGTATATAACCGACTATTTATTATTGTTCTGTTTCGAATTCCAAATGAAATTAAATTACTATTTCTAATTAGTTTGCGAAAGTCGATAATTTTTTTATACGTTCTCGTAAATATCACTTTGTTTCGACTTCACGTGCTTTTTTTTCACTAATGAGTACCTAATTCATTTATTGTTTTCAGACAAGCAAAATTTCTTCCGGTTAATGCTTGTATTTGAATGGGCAACCACTGGAAAACTTCGCTTGTTAATCAAAAATGGGGGTTACTATTTGCAACAATAGTTGTATAACGTCACGGCGCTAAAAACTCATATATTAAAAAATTTTTTGACTGTTTCACATCCCTTCTGCCTAATGTACACTGCTAACATTTTAACGAAATCAAAATAATCGTTCCGCCGAAAAAATATTTTAGTTGTTTAACTTCGGTTTAACTTTGACATTTTTTTTCTCCTTTTTTTGTAATAAGTGTAGCTATCTGAAAAAATTTGAAAAAAGAAAGTTGTATAACGTCACGGCGCTAAAACCTCAGATATAAAAAAAATTTTAACAGTCTTACATCCTTTATGCCTAATGCACATTCGCAATTTAACCAAACCATTTTAACCGTATTTCCGACAAAAAATATCAATATCATTAATATATCAGATCTCCTGTGAGGTTTGAGCTTCTTTTCAAAATGAGGAATGTCCCTAAGGTTGAAATGAAATTGAACTAACATATTAGTACTTTTTCTACAGTTGGAAGTATCTGAGGGAGGAAGACATTACTTTTGACCACAACTGTACGTACCGTGTGTCCTATTTTGGTTGAGAATGCAGTGTATCTCAACTGTTTTAAAGATAAAGACTTGCTGTTTTCGCGACCCTGTGTCACTTTTTTTGAGACTTAATACCATAAGCAGAATCAATCTACCTACGTTTGTTTCTAAGATACAGATAGTTTGAGAATGAAAAAAATTGACGTTAACATATACAGGGTGTTGCACTTAAAAAATACCGTTGCAAAACTATTTGCGTTCACTGCATCCGCTATGGTCTCCCAATATACGTTTAAGTCCATTCAAAATGTCAAATTCTGAAGAAGTTTGATAGGCGGTCTTATAACTTCGAGACTGCCGTCAATACGGTGTCACTCAAGTAACATAGTTATGCAACTTTTCATACTTCAATTTCAAACAAAAATCTACTGGAATAACTTTTATAACATAACTCTTAAAAAATATGAGATACTGGTTCCATATCTACTTGTAGGTCCATAAGATATACCTTATTTATCCCAGTAATTTAGGAAGCGCTACGTGTATTGCTTCGAATGTCAAGAACACGGCCCGGGTTTGAATACACCAATGACAATCGATTACACAGGAGCATACTTTCGCCGCGATGGCCTTGGTGGAGCATTCATTGCCGGCTTATCACCACAGCCCGAAGAGGAACCCCCAACAACAAATTTGGAAGTCGATCACGAGTTCTTTAACAGTAGACTGTGGCCATTGCTAGCGCAACGAGTTCCTGCATTCAATGCTTTAAAGGTATGCAATTAGACTAATTTGATGCAGAAACCTACATTGGCAGTCCTCAAGGTGAGAAGCTCGTGGGCTGGTTATTACGATTATAATATGTTTGACGAAAATGGAATAATTGGTGCGCATCCTTACTTATTCAATTTATATATTGCGACCGGATTTAGCGGTCACGGTATACAACAAGCACCGGCCGTAGGAAGAGCAGTTGCGGAGTTGATAATAGATGGTGGTTTTCAAACAATTGATTTAACAAGGCTAGGGTTCGATCGTTTATTGATAGATAAGCCGATGTACGAAGTTTGTATAGTTTAAATAAAGTTTATTTAATTGTTTAGTGTAACTATTTAAATTGAGCAGGAGTTGGGCCAAATAAGGTGTTTCCTTGTTTCGAAGCTGCACGTGATGGAGCAAATCCTAATAACTTCTGTATGTTTTGTCGAATTGACATGGTACATAAAATATACAGGAATATAAAAGAGCAGTCTGTGTAATCCTCTCCTGGTAAGTTTCGGTGGCTTAATCCTTGAATCCAAGCCAGTGGAACAAAAGGTAACTTTGCAACAACTCTGCCGTCAAATCTACAACGTTGTTGCAGTCTCACACTATTACAGTTTATGATTACTTACATGCTATTAAACATGCTTAATAATGCCGTGAAGGCAAACCCAATAGCAAACATCGACTTCATCTTCACTAGAGACAGATCTCTGTTGTTATTTTTGAGCCGTTCCTCTTCACGTTCGATCTTTTTCTTGTGCTGTTTGTCTAAGGAGTCTCCGTGAGCTTCTTTCCGTTTCTCTACTAAAAAACAGCCCTGTTAGCTTTGGAGAATATTTAGTGTATACATACATCTTTTGCTCTGTTTTTCGACTTCTGTTTTTAATTTTTGGTATTTATCTGTCCGATATACCATCAACCACGTTAAACCTTCGCCCAAAAACGCGGTACAAATAGATATAAATACAATAAGAAGCGTGTCAGTCCACATTTTGTACAATATTAAACTATAATTTAAGGTGTCCAAAAATTTCATAACCAATTTCGACCTTTGGAAGCGTACGCTGCACCTGCACGCACAACGTGGATTAATACCGGAGGTACGATAGACACTTCCTAAGAAGTGATTGGCTCATGGCTGCATTCAGAAGTATCAACCAATTAACGACGTTAAAGCGGGGGGGGGGGGGGGCGTTGATGGCTAATTTGATTATAATATAAATGTAGACAATGCTACTACAGCTGGATTGTACCACATTGATAGGAGTTCTGTTGCACGGAGAGAATCGAAAAAGGCGCTTAATAATGCATAAATGTGTCAATTTATAAACTTTTCATTATAGCACTCTCTACTAAATGCAGACTAAAATTGTAGTCATGGAAAATATGTATGCTAATTAAAAAACTAAAAAAATATTTTAAAAAAACTTACCATCAGACGTATAGTAGGAACGCACTTCTCCTCATGGCAAGTAAGCAATATTGCTTTTTATTTGTCAAGTTTTCTCATTTACTTCAAGAATCAAGAAAGTCTATTTATCAATTTTACACATACATAACACCCAACGGAACTTTTTTGTCCGTTTTCTAATCACTATATTCAAAGATCTAAGTGAATGTGTGAGGTGTGGGCAACCTTTTTTTCCAAGGAGCAAAAATACAATTTTCTATATGCGCCCCGGCAGTTGAAAATCCAAATAAAAAGTATGTATAAACGAATTAATAATTTATATACTTTTTGTTTTAGAAAAATTTGAATATGATTTAGTTCTTAAAGTAGTTTTCAAATTGACATCACAACCGCAAACATGTATCCCTTTCTTATGTCGGCGGTGCAATTGAATTTTAAGATATTTGATAATTTATTCCAATTAAAATCATGTACCTGGTTGTTCACAATTTGTAAGTGACCTGGAAACTAAAGAGAGCAATGAAGCTTTTATTACCTAGTAACTCTACATAAAAATGTGGTAAAATAGGATGAAGCATTTATCCTCCTTTGTTCCTACGATGTGTGGTATATAATTTTAATTTGAAAATAAGGCAGTTTAAAGAAAAACAAAATATTTAGTTGATGGTGAACAGCCAAATTGCACACTTAAAGATGCCCCATGCAAATTGGTATGAAATTACTGAATGAAGTTAGCGTTAGACTGTTGACTGTAACAAGACACGTTTAAATATTAATGGATTGGTCTTCCTAACAGTCTTGACAACACGGCTATTGTATGTACAAAAGTAATATGGGCATGGTTTTATATTAGGAGATTTTGAAATTTTATCCTTACGTCTTTTTACTGTACGATTTTGCATACATTTGTATAATACTTTATGTCGAATTAGCTTAGATAGTTTTTGTACATAAGTTGAACTAACACGAGAAAATCACTTCCAAACAGTTTCAAATCTCACTAATTACACTCAGTTTTATGTGCATACATAATTCACTAAATTTCTTGTCGTTAATAACCCCTCAGTCCGTTATATATCTTGTTATTAGAAGACTGGCTTAAAATTTTCTTAATAGCTGAAAATTAACACAATTAAAACCAAGCCAGCCACGCGAAGAGTATTAAAAACACACCTGCTTTGTCATCTTCAGACAGTTCTTGTTTGGGAAATTCAACATCAAACGTGATATACAAAGTACCTTGCAAATTATTATTATCGTAATTAGGCATTCCTTCACCTTTCTTACGAATCTTGGCTCCTGGCCACGTTATTTTATCTCTCGAAATTGTAACTGTATGACCATCCAAATGTTTTAAATCGATCGTGAAGCCATTCAAGGCGTCCTAAAAAACACATTAAGAAATTTTATTTAAAGAAAGTCTCCTTCTACCTGTAACGATATTGTAATGTTTGTATACAAATCGTCTCCTTTCCTTTCAAAAATTGTATGGGGCAGTGTTTTAATTTTCAATATCAAATCTCCGGGATCACCATCCATATGTGGTTCACCTTCTGCAGTAAATCTAGTTTCTTGTCCATCGACCATGCCGGGCTCAACTTCCATTTCCAAAACTCGCTCTTCGTTCACCAGTTTAACATTGGGACATTCGTCACAAACGGTTTGCTGCATCATTTGGAAGCGGCCTGGTCCTAAGGTTTTCGTAACCATTTCCTGCCTACAATTGCACCTCCTTGTGCCTTTTGCCGGTTTCATTACAGGTTTGTTTCTTGTAATCTACGATAAATCATACAATAAACAATAAATTGTTGTAAAAGTTACCTCAACGAAGGTGCCACTATAAAGATCTTCTAATGTAACCAAAATATCCATGACAATATTGGCACCTTTCGGAGTTTCGTGATGTTGATCACCACCTCCACCGAAATGGAAACCGAAATCGCCAAAGAAGCTCGCGAAAGGATCAAAACCGCTGTCCATCATCCCATCCTTTTGCAAACACTCTTCCCCGCACCGGTCATACTTTTTTCGCTTCTCGTCGTCCGATAGTACTTCGTATGCGGCACCTAAATCTTGAAACTTCTGCGACGCCTCAGGATCGTCCTTATTTTTGTCGGGATGTAACTCCTTCGCCAATTTTCTGTACCCCTTTTTAATGTCATGCAAACTTGCCGATTTTGAGACTCCCAAAATTCTATAAAAGTCTCTACCCGCTATCACTAACGTTAACGACACTAATAAATTAATAAATATAGCGCGAGGTATTGTAGTCCACATTTTGATAAGTGCTTAATTAATTATTTATAAGAAACCATAGCAGTCTTCGGTTAAATTGGAAAAATTAGTTACACTACGACAACTACACATGCACTATCAGCACATAACCCAAACATGTGGAGTGTTCTGATTGGTTCAAAATCTGAAGTATTTTGAAGTTTCTGCATAGGCAACACATCATACTCGCTATGAATTGTATTTGAGTATAGGATGCAGGTGCATAGGAGTACTTAAAAAAGAGCACAATACTGATTTGGCCTGAATGGCAGATTAGCAGTCACGCATATATTATCCTCAGAGAGACAATGCGTTTTATTGTAAAAGCTAAGAGCTCTGTAATCAGCAGCTTAAGCCTTTAAGGGCGCTAGGGATAGAGAATAGGCAACATACAATGGTCACTGAAATGGACAATAAAAGTCGAAACTTTCGAGTAATTCTTTATGTCCAAATATTAATACTAACTAGATGTCTTATCGGAAATTGATACAGATATAGAAAAACATTAAATGTGGCGATTTATTTTTTTGATAAAATTATTTAAGTTGTGTATAAATGATAATCTTGCATTTACTGAGAACGCGAATATTGGCCTTAGTAAACAAATATTTAAAAAGTAAATCCGCACAATTTATTTAGTAACTAAGTGGATTAAAAAAATATATTACGAACTGCTTGAAATTATGAAATGAAACGTAATTTTTACTCAAAAGTTTATATAAAGTATAGCGACGGAAGAAATGCAGTAATGCATACAACGACGATAGGCAACTCGGGTAGCACTTTACCTGGACAATAGACCATTATACTTATATACGATTCTTTGCATGAAAAGTTTTTTTAAATTTTTGTTCACCAAAATGCGTATCCCAATTCAGCAGAGTTGGACATTGGGTTATTTCTAGGTTTAAGATTGTCTTCTGACATTTTTTTGAAAAACACAGCTGTAGTGTACAAAAATGCTGCAAGTGAATCAAATGACATGCATGACTGGAGTTTCTTTTTTGTTTAATTATTTCTATTAACATGGAGTGTCAATATCAGTCTTTTTTAGTTACGCGCTTCGAATAAATGTAGATACCTATGTGAAGATTTGGCAATTTTAACTGGTTGGAGGAAAATACTTACAAAGAAAAAAACAATATTTCGGGCAATTTCGTTTTTAAAGAAATTAACACAACTTTTTTGTATTTTTTTAAATCATTTGAACCTTTTTTAATTGTTTTTCGAACTTTTTTGAATCTGAAACCTTTTTAATATTATCCCTGGTGTGCTATAGTTTTTAAAAGAGAATTTACTATGCTATCTGTTTAGATTAAAATACACATGAGGTTAGGGCCGATAACTTTTTTACTTGACTCCGTGCTTATTTTGAAAACGGTAGATTAAGCAAAATCATTTTTAATAAACACATTTACCGTAAACTTAATAAATAAAGATTTTATAGGTTTTTTCTAAAAATCGAAAAATGCAACTTTTGCCTGTATCTCAAAAATAAGACTGCACGGCAGGTTGATTTCCAACATCGAGTTTGTTTCAAAAAAATACATCAGGACTGCGAGATCTAAAACTTCTAGTTTGAGAATTACCCCATACTACCGACCAAATTTGGCCATCCTGTCCAGAAAAAATAATTTATACACAAATTATGCAATGCGAGATCCAATGTAAATAATTCCCAATACCAATCACCTTTCTTTATATCTGATCATTTATGAGCATATTAATTATTAAGCAATCTTTAAGAGCGGACAAAGTGGGTTCCAAGAGCGGATTGCAAATGGAGAAATGTGACAGTTAGTTGAATTATGAGCTCAGCTCCATATTTTTCCATTCCGCCACGCAATTAATTAAAGAAGTTTTATTTTTCGAGCGTTATCGCAAGGCAAGTCGTCGAGCTAGAAAAGCTGTCTATCCCGCCATGGCACAGCCAAATTTTATATAAACTAAACGCTTAATTTAGAGGGGATCTTTTGGGTTTTGCATCTTTGCCATTTGCATCCTCCCTCGCTAGTTACAATTTAATTGCTACCTCTCCGTTAATTATAAGGTAAGCTTTTTGTTGCTTTCAGTTTCATTAATTATAAGGAGGAGGGACTTTTGTCTCGCTTTCAGCAATTGTTTTCTCATAGAAACTGCTACCGAATCCGCTTATTTACTGTTTGCTCTGCGGTTTAAGTTTGTTTTAGCATTTCGCTTTCTGGCAGTCAGAATCATCCCTTTCATAAATTGATTATGGGTTTCTGGAAAGTACTACATCTAGTTGCTGCTTAAAATCAATAAAATTGTCCCTCCCTTTGCTGATTTAGGTGGAAACTCGACATCAGATCCAAATGTGTGCGATTTATGAATCCTAGAAGAGAACTTCAAGTTACATACAAAATATAAGCTTCTATTGAAAGAGAAAAAATGATTTTCTGTTTATTTATAAACATTTATACATTCGATTGCGCTTTCGTATTAAACTCCATAAATATCAACTCAATTGTAACAAGTGTGCTCACGATCTGAAAAAATGAGAAGTTTGTGTTAGTTACTAAAGATAAATTAATTATGAAAATTTAAGTAAAATGAAACAAAAACGCGAAAGAATCATTAAAATATCTCCACAAATGAAACAGTTACAACATTTTCGTTTCAGCGTGTGATGTCCCTTGACCTATTCGCATACGATGCCTATTCGCTCGCTTTTTTATTATTTATTTATTAATAAATATGGTATTATCAACAACATGAAACTTGCAACTATGCAATTAGTAGAGTGCACTCAATACAAATTAGTAATTGAAAAATCGGCGTCATACTTACGCTTAAAATTGAAGTCCTTTTCACGTCAAAAAACCCTCCCCCTGAAATTGCTGTCTGTCTAGGTGTCATTTGTTGAAGCAATCGATCGATCTATAAGCACAATCAAGATTATCTACTTGGTGGATTAGCGTGATCTTACTTCATGCGATAAGTATTTCGTCGGAATAATTGCCAGTTCCGAAATAGACGCCGAGCTTTCTTCGTACACTTCAGAGGCGTACCAACAGAGTAAAACAAAGTGAAATGCAGTAAATAGTAATCCGTAATAAAAATACATTGCCCCGTAACCCGTCTGGGATGATCTAAAATGAAACTTGTAATTGATGTGCAAGGCAAATTACCAAATCTTACGAAAGGCATTGTAAAATGGAAATGGATAAAAAGTACACATTGCTTAGAAACGATAAAACCACGATATTGGAAAGTACCTCGTTTAAAAAATTACACAGAATTATCAGATTGTTGTATTGTTTACGGATGATTCTCCACTGACTCTCGCTCAGTATCTTAAAGGTCACTCATTAGTACATGTTAAGTATTAAATAGAACTTTTACGTACTTTTCTGCAGTTTATTGTTTGTCGGATTTGGCGAAATCTTTCAGCAAGTGCGGTGGACAATAACGTTATGAGAAGATTGCTGAATTGCCATTGATATGTTGCTATGAGGGCCAGAAACTGAAACAACGCTTAAATTCAATGTTCATATGTTAAATTGCGTGGGATTACAGTAAATTTTGAGTATTAAGTGAGTATTAAATTTGGAGGAACAACTTTGTGAATTATAAATACGTGTAACGGGAGCCAGTTGATTTGAATGTTTTTAAGCTTTCGATTTTGTTTGTGGGCGAGTGGTTTCTGAATATGGTCCTGACTGTTTAAATTTAAATGAGCATGGAAGACTATAAGGCGTTGAGAAATTGTGGGCGAGGACGAAATTAACTAGAATTACGTGAGGATTATGCAAGGGCCAAATTCGTCGTTGTCAAGATTGGCGGGTAACATGTTGTTTTGTTGACGAAAAGAACGAAAAAATTAGCTTTGATTGGTGCACAGGGTTTAAGTCACGTACTGGGTGTGAATTAAAAAAGAACAGTAGTGGGAATTACGTTGTTAGTAGAGAGCCGTGGGAAAATGTGCTTTAAGGCACGATAACGTTCACGTCGAGCGGTTAAAAAAGTCAAGTCAACCACCTATAAGTTATAAATTGTCGTAATGTTTTGAACGCGAATGGGCTAAAAATAATACTATGTGACGTAATTTTTCCCCTGGCTGCAGTGGTAAGTTTGTGCACAGGTAACATTTTTTAATGATACTGACGCTTCTCCTTTTATATTCAAAATAAACAAACTAGACAAAATTGTCGTAACATTTCACTTACCTCAACTATAATTGCTTTCCAATGTGCATATCCAAATAACGTAAAGAACTCGTTATAGACAAGAGTAAAATATTTTTCTACATAAGATTCTGAAGGACTCGCTTTGCTGAGCGCTCGTCTAATTCCACCGCAAACAAATAACACGTGCTCCCCTGGAAGAATGTTCTTCAGAAGAATTTACCATTAGTGGTTTACCTGTGCCCAAGATCAAATAAAGAAATGGTAAAATCGTAAGTCTTCGTTTTAAATTTGGGACAGGTCCGTAAGATGCCATATTTGTTTCCATTTCACACCAGTGTTTAATTAATCGTGGCCAAAGTGTGCTGACCTTCAGCAAAAATGTAAGATTTAAGACGGCGCGCAAGTTCCACACCACGACCACTATAACGGAATTTTGAGTAGGTATATCACACTTTATAGTTTCGGTACTTACAGAAATCAAAAAACTGGCCACCGTGACGTATTGTATAGGTAAACATCATAATAGTGTAAACGAACTGCAAAACAATCGTGATAAGACAATAAAACGTTCTACTCGAAAGCCATCGAAATTTTAACTCTTTTGGTGTTTGCGTTAACCCGTCAAGAGGAAAAATGGAAAAACACTGAGAAAACAGTAGAAAATATCTAATTAACCGGTGCAAACTGTATTTTTCTAACTTTTTGTAATCGTGTTGTTTGCTCATACTGGCGAGCTTCGATTAAACCCAATGCTGAACATTGCATTCGAAATCTGATCAAAGCGCGAAGTGTTATTGATTACCGTGAAAATGTGACAAATGAAAGTAGTTTTAAATAATAAATTTATTGAAGTGTTGTGCGGAACACGCAAGGGACTGTTGACAAAATAAACGTATAATGCTGTCGATATGGAAAAGACGTATACCTATTATTACCTACTATAGGTAGGGGTGGGAAATTAAAGAGTACCTACCATCTCTTACTTTGGTTCATTTTTATTCTTCTCCATTTCGTAGTTTTCGACTTCCATTCCACAAAAGGATTTTCACTTACAACGCAATTGGCTCTGGTTTCAGTTCAGAGGAAAACAATGATGTATCGATTACATATTATTAAATTATAAAATTTACATTTGATTTCTTGCTTGAGATTTTCGTTTAAAGCCGGGCTCAGACGACTCGTGTACTTGGCGAATACACAATTATTTGCGTACTTGGGAAGTATACGAGCTTGGCGAGTTGCGATGGCAAGCAGGGCACTCACACGACGTGTACATTGTACAAGTACGCGAGGGCGAATATTTGGGGCGAACATTTGTAACACTGTTACTGTATCCTTTTCCAGGCATCATTAACTGCATTTCGATTGTCATGGTCTTTGTGTTTAGCCATCCAAATGACCGGCTCATTTTCATAAAAAACAAGAAATTCCAACACAATCTCATTTGTCCACTCCATTTCAATAAAAAAAGAAAAAAAAACGTCTGTACGCTTCCGTCTTTAACTAAAAACTAAATTAATAATCGCACTAAATGCAAATTATTTGTGCATTCCGTTTGAGCGCCTCTACAAGTATAGATAAGTATGTACTTGGCAAGTGTGCGAATAATCGTGATCCCTTTGACTCGGACCAATTTTACCGACAAGAAATGGAAAACTAACGAGTGACAATTAATTGTACAAGTAACCCACTCACACGACATGCCAAGTATACGAAAGTAACGATTATTCGCCAAGTACACGAGTCGTCTGAGCCCGGCTTAAGAGATTTATTTGTCGTAACGTCACTTTACAATGAATTGGAGTACCACTACTCCAGCCTATTTCCAAAAGGGAATTGACATTGCTTTCGCAGAGCTCTAGGAAAGTTAAAAGATATTGAGCAAGTCAAAATTACATCCGGTTTTACTGGACTCTTAATTGGAGATACGGTATGTAGTTGTACATTTGATTTGTTTACTTATTTAACGCTTTACTGTATACATTTTTTGAGGAGGATCGGAACCTTCGGACACCCGTCACCCTCAAACGAAGATATTTAATTTTCCTATGTTGATACTCTGATATTTAGTTATGTTTATGAATGCATATTAGTCAAGTTTTAAGGCAAATTTTGTAATTTTAAGATTTCTTAACATTACAATCAAAATTAATGTGTGCTGATGCATTGGTTTATACAAGTGAAGTTTAATTTGTGGGTCAATCGTCAATGTATGTTTCTGTATTCCAAACAGTAGTCTTTGTCTGGTCACTTATGGTCTTTTTCGCTTTTCAGGCAGAGTGGTAGAAAAGAAGAGTGGAGTAAAGCTCACTCACTCTTGTCGCACAACCAGTATGGTTTGAAAATGGGATAGTGATTGGCCAAGATCACAAAATTACTGTCCAAGATCGCTACAGCTACACGAGCATATTACTAGGGACACGAAGCGAAGAGTTACTTAAGTACCTAAGAGAGACGTAAAGGCAGATAGTACAATATATGTATTTGGATCGACGGGGTTCCACAGGGTTCGGTACTGGGACGACCCTGTGAAACATCACGATGACGTGCTGAAAGTCCCCGCACCCGAAAGGATGTACTCCATAAGCGGCGGATCTTAATATTATCTTAACTGAATAGTGGCGGAGGGAGCTTTACAAAAACTCAACTGATGGCAGCCATGATACCGCTTGCGGAGATCGCTGCCAGGGCCAGCACCGGAAAGTGGAGAAGGGGCAAAATTGTGGGCGAATGCCAAACTAACTGGAGTGCTGGAGAATTAATTAGTAGGTAGCCCAGAAATATGGGTTAATCGAAAGAACGGAGCGGTAGTAGACTATCATCTTATTCCATTCCTAATAGGACAAGAGATGCGACAGGGTCCTACCTACATATGATAGAGAAGTAACAAGCTGCGAGATACAAAAGCACACCTAGTTTGTGAGTGCGTGAAATGGGTAGAAAGAAAAGGTTCGCTTGATTAAGTGTATATGCTGCAGTCGAGAGTGTGAGGAGTGTGCGACGACGATATTCCTTCTTTGATTCGGTGAAAGTCGGAAACGCCAGAAAACATTTCAATATATTATATTATTATTATTATAAACGTGTCTCAGAGGAAACACTATAAGAATGGTTTTTGTATTTACCTACCTTTTTTGATATTTACACAAGCGTACCTATTATCCTGACCTTCTTGACAAGTGCAGAGCAGATATGACACGATCACAGAAAATCCTACTTACCTTGATAAGATAATCAAAAATAAGTTTGCAATTACAACATAAAATAATTGACATAAAAGAAAATTAATTGTCATTCTCCTGACATCATACCCAAACGTTTTTATTGATACAACTAATAAGTTCAAAACGTAATCTGCGTTAATGTAATCTTTTTTGCTGATACCCTTGGTGTTGCCAAAAATAGTTACTTACCGATTAAAAGCTCTATACTTCGCCCGCTGTGGTTACGTTGGCTACCGATTCTTAGATTTTTTCAATGAATATTTTTTTAATCCATAATTTGAGATACTTATTTGATACACCATTGTATATACAGTTGGCTGTATGCAGTGGCACACGGACACTAAGCCACACACAAACCGAAATTTTATAATCCCCCCCCCCCCCGTACATTTCCGGCATTTGCTATAAAGAAAAATCCCAATATTGACTTAAAATTTCTCAATTCGAGAGACTCGGTGGCCTCGATAAACTTCAAAAGTTCAAAAGAATTTATTGCACAAATTTTGATCAGCACCTGAAATAAATCTTGGCCACCAATAGAAAAGAATGACTTGAGAGAACTTTATCCGGGTCGCACAATGGCTTCGAATAAACACGACAATGACAAACACATATATTCCAAAACACAATGAAACAAAATCCCTGAAAGAAGGAAAAGATTGTTTGGATATATTACCCCGCACGCAGCCGATCGACAAATAAAATTAAAAATTTTAAAATTACTCACAGTTTTTTTAAATAATCCAAATAATCACAAGGTTTGCTAAACTCACACAAACGCTTCTGAACTTCACTTTGCTTTATAACACCGAATTACATTACAAAATCTGAGTTGTTGAATAAAATGACAACATTTTCGGGTACTGTTCGGTAAAACTTTTAACTTTTAATAAAATGAGAGCCTCAACAAAAGGCCTCGCTGTATTACACTGGTTCCGTTTTCAACTTGACAAAAGCTTTTCCGAAATCGGATACGCGTTCAAACTTCTCACGCAACATTGGTTTTACGTAAACAGATTTACACGCTTTTTTACCGTCGTGAAAACTAACAGCCGCAGCTGCGTTTACTCGTTGTCTCAAATAGTTAAGCAAACACCACTTCCACCAATAAAATAAAGTCCTACTTTAAGAATTTTCAAATAAATTGCCAATCACAACGGAACGCACCAATCGGTCGTAACGCCTTATCTCTAAACAGCGTTATAACGGGTACGTTATATAATTTTCGCCTGATAAAACTACTTATTGCAAACGACCAGATGTGTCTTACTTCTACCACTTTATCTAAATTGAATAAATTACAAAAGCGATCAAATTTAAACAAGAATTACGCAAATTTCTAAAAGGAAAACCAACACTGAGACACAAATTCAAATGAAACGAATCACCTCTGTGCGTCATAAAACAAATCTAACGGTTTGAATGGAAGTTATATATTGTTGTATGTTAGTGGAGGTCATTTCGAGCAGTTTAAAACCTTTTTGGGCTTTTTTTATATTTTATTTTCTCGGTAACTAATCGATCAATTGAAAAAAAACCGATTGTATAAGTAATGAAAACCCCTTTCAAAATATGGGTCATCGGGCCGCTCCTCCGGTTTAAAAATTTGTGGTTACAAGTTGCCAGAATTACTTTTTCATAGAAATTCTTTATGTATACGAATTTTTACTCAATTTTTACAATGACGTGCGGTGAAGGTGTAGTTTTTCCGTATTGATGTTTTGAAAAAAATGTGCGGGTACGGGTAACCCCATTAAAATGCAAGCCCAAATCGTCATTTTGATTAATAAAAATATGTTTTCAGAAATGAAATCGTTGCATAGGAAATTAAATGCTATTTTAAAAGAATAGGAAGGGATGGGTAAAGTTAAGTACCTACGTTTGCTTGTGTAATTTAATATCGATATGATATATCTAATTTGAAGTGGATTTACTTTCGTTTAATATTTTCCTTAAATGTTTCTCACAGTTGCATTTAGCAGCTGGCATTTAATTTTTAATTAAATCTATCTTATATATGTGTGGTTCCATAGAAATTAAATAACTGACAGTTATATTTAAAGGTATAAGATGTTAATAAAGTAAGTCAATATTCGGTTGGTAAAGTTTATAAAAGAAAATTTAGAGAATTAAGGGTTTGGAGTACGTCGACAGAGAGTAAATAGCCAGTTTGAGTTAGTGGATGCGTAATAAAAAAGAGAACTTCCGAAGTGACATTTGTTTTATTATGTGCATTGGAAGAATATTTCGGTCGAGCGTTTGTAGCTGATTTTTCTTACACCAATTTTGAATAAATTTGTGTTTTGTGTAAAGGAACAGTTTCGTAATAGAATAAGCCCAAGTGACGATCCAGGATTTTAAGAGTTTCGTGTTTTGCTTTTATGAGTGACTATTTATTTAGCACATAGCAATATGTTTCTTCAAATAAAAAAACCCTTCAGTTTCCGCGTATTCTACCGATTCTTCAAATTTGTCCACTTTGTTGGGTTTTTCCGTTATTTAAAGATATATCAATTCTTCTTATTCTTTGAATGTTTAGTTTCGAATTTTTAAAACTCTTCAAACCCATCAAATCCTTTTGGATTCATTCTGCGGATTCTTTCGTTAGGTACCTCGCAATCTTCCAATTTTTAAGAGTTTTTGAATTCTTTCGTAGTAGCTCATAAGTTAGTTTCCTCAGGTACCTAAATACTTTAGATATCTATCGTCTTTCGTTTTCCTAGACTTGTTGAACTCAATTTTGTGTGTAAATACTAACTGCCGCATCTCGGTCCAAGGACCCCGAACTGATTGTCCTACTGTCTAAGTTACGGCAGTTTCCAAAAGTGATGGAAACGGTTTTCTGGGATTATGTTGATTGAGTGTAATAAGGGATTAGATCGTCTGAATTAAGGCTTTAATCTACAAAATAAAGCTATGTGACATTTTAAAGATATTTGTTGACAATTTGAGAAATTCTAAGATTGATAGTATTAATTCCATCAAGTACTAGAAAAAGGGCACTAAAATAACGCAAGCCTTAAAACATATCCTTCGATAGAAAAAAAAACCTTAAAGTTTTGTCGATAAGACATTTGAGGTGCACAAAAGTCTAAAAGTTCAGCAATTTATTGATGAATATGGCTTCCAGAGATTAAAACATCCACCCTATAGTCCGGATTTAGCATCCTGCGACTACGAGGTAAGATTTGATTCTGATGATGATCTTAAACTTGCTGTTAGTGACTATTTCAAAAAACTACCAAAAGAAATAAGGTACCTTCTGAATGCTTCTGTTTATTGCAGAAACGGCGGAATAAGTGTGTTTGAAGTTTTGTGAAAAAATATTTTTTTTAAATCTTAAATTCCCTTTATAATTACATACCAGTGTCTCTTCGTAGTTTCAAGAAAACGCATGATATGGATTGGAAATGTAAGATAGAAAAAAACCGAAAAACTAGGCAAAATCGCTTTTCAAGTTAATCTCTTCATCTGGATTACCCTTTTATTTGATCTTTGTGAATTTCTCTTTAGTTTGGACCTTTACAGCCATTTACATTCACTATTATCATGACTATAATAAATGAAATTTTTAAAATTGAATATACAATTATGTAACTTTAAGTAGGAGTGGGTGAAAGATGATAAGTGACTTATCAATGAATTCCTCGTCCGGTTTACTTTATAGTATTTTATTAATGCGAAAAAGTTGTACCTACTAAATGTATTATTTTGAGGTGCTCACAGGGATTTTAAAAAGCAGTGAAGTGAATTGCAAACATTTTAAATTGGTCCTGAATGGCAGCGTTGATATTTTAGACAAACGTTTTTCTTCAAATGAAGAATATAATCAGGTAAATTTATTATTGGTTCTTAAGGCCGGAAACGGTTGTAGTTCGCACATTTGATTTTAACCATTTTGAACGAAATAGATACACGTCCCTTAAGTTGTTTCCCCACATTCATAATTATGCTCGTGTTGTTTTATGCGTCAATATTAACGGAAGTTTTAGTTTGCTGAGAGGCCGAAATTAGTACTTAGGTATGTGGACTGTGTTCGTTTTGCACTAAATTGTGCTCTTATTCCCACCCTTATACGAAATTTGTAATTCAGGGTTACAACTTAATACTAAGATCGAAGGCTTCCAATAAATTGCGACCATAATTATTGGTATCTGAAATGTACTCGTATTTCTGATGGTTTGTGCGCTTACTCTTACGTCTTATGGGTCAAAATTAACGGAAGAGTTTGAAACCACAGCTTGCTTCTAGCTTTGAATATAAACATTTTCAAAGCATCTAGGCTTCTAAGAACGAAGGCTTTTGACCTCGATTAAAGTTCGCATCTAAATTCTGCTATTACACTATTGTTTTAAAATAATTAAAAGTTACCCTTCCTTCGGAAAAAATCTAGTATAAAATTTCGTAGGGGTTGTACCTACCACTATTCTTTTTCTCCACTTCCATCAGTGCGACCAACTTTCGTGAATAATTTTTCGTAAAAGATCTTTACAGAGATGTCTATCTTCAATTGTTCACTCCCATGTGACTGCTCATTAATTATTATTCATATACGGTTTGAGATAGACATATGCCACTGCGGAGATTTTTGTGTGAAATTTAATACTCGACCGTTTCTCTTCTGTACATTTTTTCTATCTGATTTGGTTTTCCTTTCATTTTGAAAGAAAATGCGCGCAACCGTGATTTACGTAGGGAAACACTGTAAGTGTGATAGACAGAGCCGAGGCTTTCCGTTTCTTCTTTACATTGCAACGACCACGTCGGTGCTTAAAATTGAACTAATAGTTGGTACACCCCTCTTTATTTTACACCGTCGTGAATATCCCACCGAGGTATGGAATTTTTTGCCTGTGGGTACAACTTGCTGCTAATAAAGAGGATTTTTAATTGCGATTGGAGTTTGCGCCTCAATTGCGCTCTATTTGTTCTGATTTTGCTGGATGATTAACGGATACACATAAGAATCTTTAGTGTTGGTTGACATCTTCATGCTGGGAATGAAAATTTCGTTTGCTCTCCGTGTTGTGTTCACTCGAAAAGAGATTGTGTTCCACCTATGGAAACCCCTGGATGGTGCAGGGAACCAAATCAAGTTGTTTTGTTAATTTGTTAATAATGGCACACGAAACCTAGGACTGATACACCAAATAGCACAAAACGAGCATAATTCAGTTGTGAGTTCTGATCGCGACCGGAGATCATCGTTCTAGTTAAAAAATAATGTCTCACCGTTAATTTTGCGGTACAAAGCGGAGAAGATGTCGCAAAAATCAATACAAAACGATCACAAACGGAGCTCAATTGGAAATCCCGCGCAAGTCAGCACAAAACAAGCGATCTGAAACTCTTAATATTGTGTTGTGGTTCCAAACTAAGAATTCTGAAATCGTGACGCGCAGCGGTTGTAACGGGAGCCCGCTAGGCCGTTAAATTTTGCATATTGTGCCGTTTCATACGCTATAAACATTCGCTTAGAATGCGCGAGTTTTTTCAATAGTGGAGGCAAGTCTTCCACTTTGCGTTGGTTCCGACTGGATAGAGCCGAAGTAACGTAAGTGAATAGGAATGAGGGGTTGCGATTGGTGAAAAGGGGACGGTGGTCGCGAAAATTGCGTTGGTTAATGGCGTACTAAGTTTGTAACGAGAAATTAACAATCTTAATTGCGGAGGTTGTATCTATTAGTGTTAGTGGAGCCACCCACAAAACACCTGTTCAGCTAGCTCAATTAAATAAACTTGAACGCGCCCGAAATTTTATTAATTTAGGAATCTCAGCGGCCTTGTCCTAAAAGTCGTAAAATTAAGGGTATTCAAAATTGATCGACACATAAAACAACATTATACACACAGAATTGACAAATCTGATAGAAAGAGAGGCTTTCAGAGCTTGTTTACAGATACCATGCATGGAAGCGATCGATCACAATTAATTAAAGAAATCTTATTACTTCCAGTTTTTAATAATCCAATAATCTGGTCGTGAACTGCAATTTTCTGGCGCACAAAAAACTAAAACTAAACAAGCCCTCGCTGACGAACTCACAATTTCCTCTTTTCTATCACATTAGATCTTGATACCGCGATCTGTCTTTGTTGAATTCAATAACTATATTTTGTGCCTTGCTTAAAATATTGTACTTTTGACACACGCATATAATAACGCAATATAAAAACGCGAACTAATACTGTCGGACCACCACCGAAAAAATCTTGTTTTTCGTTATGTTTCCGTATATTAAAAGGATCTCCTATCTTCCACCTTAAAAATCGCCTTCTTTCAGATTTCGTAAACAAACAGCCACTCAAAATCACATTTGATCAGCGCCAGCTTCGAAATAAACTCCACACCTGATGATTTCTTATTGGTCATAACATAACGATTGCATATCTTGAAACTAATTAAATTTTATCTTACGCAACGCGATAACAAAAGTTGTTATCTCATTGACCAGATAAACCATTTAATACAACGCGCAAACACCACCAGATGTTCCAACCTTTCAACACGTAATTTAACAATTAAGTGAACAAATCAAAATTAACAAATTATAAAGCAACTAATTTAAACGAAACACTTAACAATTCTTATAAAAAGCAACGTTGCACTTCAAATTTAAATAAAAACACCAAGTTCTTGTTTAATTCAAAAACAGCAAGCAAATCTATATTTAAAAGAATCGATGTTCCACATACAGAGTGACCCATTGTTATTATAGGTTTCGAGACCAAACGAAACGTCAGGTTGTCTAGGCAAAAATATGTTAGTGATTTACATCGTTTTATCCAACATGTTGATGTTCATCTGTACCAGTATTGAAACTATTAATAAACGTGTAAATGATTTAAACGAAGACGTACACATTATCACCAATTGGGCAACTGGGCTTAACGCCTATAAAACGGTATTAATGCTCTATACTTATTCTCATATGAGCTTGTAGAGAGGGGATTGATGGCCTATTATCTCTTCCTACCCCTTAATAAAAAATATTGTTATTATTATCAGTAATAAATCAAAGCGTTCAACCAAAAATCCCATGTATGTACTTACATATACCGTCTTCCTAGTTCTTGTTGATGATAATCCTTATTTTTCCAAACTTGACAAAGGTTCATACGCGAAAGGGATGCACAGATAATGATATCATTATAATTGCGTAAACTTTAGGAGATGGTGGGAGGCTGATAAAACTGATAATAATACATAAATGTTAACGCGTCTGTAGAACGCCAAATACTAACAGGAATTAGAAAGTAGGTATTTCTTTTTCTTTACAATGAAATTAAGAAAGTGATGTCCAAACGCATTTGAAAGAATTAACCTTGCAATTTAGTGGTTCGTATCTTGGTTAAAGTAAAATGGGTTCTTACCTTAGCGAATAACTCGTGCGGTTTGTATCTAGGGTAAGGCGGATCAATGTCGATTTTTCTTCTTCTTTTCACGAATATTAATCACGTTGCGAGATGCTGGCGAATTTCAGTCACGTGGTCGACGATGTTTTCGAAAACTTATTTTGATTATCTCTGTGGCCCTAATTTCGGGCAGTTTAGACTTTTGATTCGATCGACTAATTTATTCCGCGATGTAATTCGAGGTTTTTAATTTGGTTCGCGTTTTGATTGTGGTTTTGCCAGAGAGATTTTAATGAACTGGAAATTGAATGGTGATTCATGAACTATTTCTTCAGAACTAATTTTGAGGTTTTAATTTTAGGAAGATATTTAAAATAAGATTCAGAACTTGTAAAAATTTTCGAGTTTAATTTTATCGCATAAGAGAAACGAGTTTTTAAAAAATCATTTAGTCACTCATGAATACTCGCATTTCGATTTATTTTTGCAAAACTTTATTCGCGAATAAAATGTAAGATGGGCGTCGAAGTTCATCCCTTCTACTCACAGATCAGCACAAAATGAGCACAAATTAATGTGCACTTTTCGGCTCTTGAATGTGGGGCAACAATGCACTTAAATTATAATTGTATACAATTCGCGCTTTAGTAGCTCGCTGATTATTTCACCTTTTTGTTTAGATTACCTATTGGTACTCATCAGAGGGATCGAGGGGACAATCGGTTGCGTTTACCGCCACTTCTGCTAATCCCAATACTGATATATGCTGGGTTCATTTTCTACGTGGATGTCTTTCATTTGAGCTGGTTTCAAATCACAACGATTGGTCTACCTAAACCTAGATTTATAGGATACCGAGAAAATTCAGGTTCTTTTGTCATAAAGACGGAAGGCTGTAGAATGCCATACATTGATCCATTCGATTCATCTATTCGGCGATATATTTTTACGGAACGGAAGATAACGTGCAACAAGAATAAACCTCCACTTATGGATGCCAATTTTACGTCTATATACTTACTACATAATTCCTTAGGCGCTTACAAAGTCACCAATTTGTCATCTTTGGAGTGCTGTTACTCTCCATTCCATCGCGTAGATCCATCATCAAATCAAGACGATAGTCAGATTTCCTACAGCAAATGCGTTTATTTCAATCAAAGTGCGCTTATTACAGATGAATTCGTTCGTGTCTCGTGTACATTTAATAAAACTGAAATTTATAAAGATTTCTTCGCATTTGTGCCGATAAAACCGAATGTTGCGAACTTCTCAAAATCACAATTTAAGAAGCTCAACGTGTTGATAATCGGATTAGACTCCGTTTCTAGATTAAATTTTCATAGGCAAATGCCTAATACTGCACAAACCTTACAAAGTATAGGCGCAATCGAGTTTTTGGGGTACAACAAAATCGCCGACAACACATTTCCTAACTTAGCTCCGGTATTAACTGGTATGACTCACAAGGAACTCGTAAATACCTGCTGGCGTAAAAGATCCGACCGATTCGACAAGTGCAAATTTATATGGAGTAACTACAGTAAAAGTAACTACGCCACAGCTTTCGCTGAAGATTCGGTTTGGATGGGTATGTTTCACTATCAAAAAAAGGGCTTTAAAAAGCAACCCACAGATTACTATTGGGGATCGTTCGATTATGCCGCTGAGAAGCAAATTGGAAACGATATGGCCTTACAGGCACCGCAATGCGTAGGATCCCGACCGATATACCAAACACTTCTACGTTACATACAACAGTTCACTCAGGTGATGAAACAACACTCCATACCGTGGTTTGGTTTATTTTGGAGTTCAAGTTTATCGCACAATTTTCTGAATAAACCCAAACTCGGAGACGAAGCATTTGTCAAGCTTTTTAAAGAACTGGAACGTAGAGGCATCTTACAGGATACCGTTTTGATATACATGAGCGACCACGGAATGCGATGGGGTCCGATTCGGACCACGTACCAAGGAAGGATGGAGGAGAGGTTACCCTTCCTGTTCATTGCCTTACCAAAAGTGTACCGCGAAACTCACCATCAGGCGTCTGCGAATTTAAATAGAAACTCGAAACGGTTAACTTCGCCGTTTGATTTGCACGAAACCCTAAAAGATTTGCTAGATCCCTATTCCCTAAGTCAGGAAGTGCTAACAGCGCGGGTTCTAAAGCGAAATGGTACTCATAGGGGGTATAGCCTCTTCGAACCAATTCCTGATAACAGAACGTGTGCAACGGCTGGAATTTCTTCGCACTGGTGCACATGCCAGAAAAGTGTAGCGGTGAACGCGAATAGCAGTATTGTTAACAACGCCACGAAATTTATTGTTCAGTACATCAACAACCAACTAAAGGGGTATGCTGCATGCGCTAAACTGGCATTGTTTGAGATTTCCAATGCACATCTTCATACTGCTAGTGATCAATTGAAGGGCGGCACAGAGGATTACACCATTGTATTTCGAACCAGACCAGGCGATGGGCATTTCGAAGCTACAGTTAGACGAAATCTAAGAAGAAAAGAATCCCCTTTTGAAGTGGTTGGAACGATTAGTAGAATAAATTTGTATGGGAGCCAAAGTGTTTGCATTACCGACTTTCACTTAAAGCTGTACTGTTACTGCATCAACTAGTGACGATTTGGCCGAAAAGAATCCAAAATTGTAAAGTGTGTTTATAAAAACAAATAAACGTCATGTCCACGTGCAATCATGCTTTGTTGCAAAAATGAAGCATCGCACAGCAAACAGTTGTATTATTGCAAAATTTCTCTTACATTGTACTATTTGCAAATCTGCAAAACCATAAAAAGTGTGCATTACAATTTCTAATTATTTTCAGATCTTCCCAATTTCAAACTCGTAACATCTTCATTTACTTAAAATTTAATTAAAATCACATTTAGCTATAAAAATTAGATTGGATCCGTATATAGGTACCTGATGTTTCTACTGTGTTTGAAGTTGTGACCCAATTTTGTTTCGCAATTATATTTTTATTCTTTCCCGAAGATGTTATTGCTTTTTAAAATAATCACAATAAAACATAATTGAGCGAGGCTCTTTGCATAAGTGATTTCCGACATTTAATGTGTGTGATCTAGTAACATGACGTAAGTTTTCTTCCCTTTACAATTTTGTTCTTTTGTTATAGTAGAAATATTACAAAACCCACACAAGGTACTGTAAATTTCTTTTGAGGTGGTTTGCTGTAATCAATTAACGAAGATTTAAGATTCTCACACCATTCCGGGTTTCACGTAATTCACAATTGTAATAACGCGTTAACACTTCTTGAACAAAATGTTAGCTTCTACGCAAAACACCCCACAATTCGCCTATACAGGATGAATATTTTGTCTGGAACACTAAATATCTATATCTTGAAAACAACATTTTTTCAAAAAAGCTTTTTATGGTATCCAAAAAATAAACAATTTGCAGCCAATCTACGTACTTTAAATCTGTAGTCATTATAGTGTACTTCTGCATGGTCACGGGGAGCATATTTTTTAATAGCAACTTCTAGTTTTCATAACATATTATTAAAGAGTAAAATTTTCTGGGACATAAAAAAAACTTATAATATTTAAACGAAAATTCAGTAATTCAGGAAAATGTTAATTAATTGTACAATTTTACTAGTTTGATCATGTTTTTTATATTGTCATATTAAAAAAAGGTTAATTTTTTAATAGAATCTCAGGAAAAACAGTGCTTTCCATTTAAAAACTAACCCTCTTAGTTCGTTTTGTACGCACCCCATTGTAATTGTATAGATTTACTTATAAATTTTTCATGTTAATTGATACAATAAATTGCTTTGACATAACTAACAAAAGAATAACGCTATTTTCAACGCAATCTAGCGGAATTACAAAATTAATTAACACCACTATTTTCCTTAGTTTAAGTTTTTCTCTTAAATTTGATGTAATATAATATGTTTTTTTTTGTAGCTACATCCGAATAAGTGTACTCTTTAAGAATATATAACGAAAACTGGTTGTTTCCATTTAAAAAAATGCCCCCCCCCCTTCAGCATGCAGAGGTACGCCACTGACCACGAATTGTAAGTAAATTGGTAGCAAACTTTTTATAATCTTGGATACTGTGGTTTCTTACCTAAAATAATAGGTAATCAATTCTAATTACAAATGAGTCCTGTCACGGATTAAGTTCAAATCGTTTTTTATTTTCCTTTTTCCTGTCAAAAATCACAATTTTATTATCTGACGTTTTTACAAAAAAAAAACTCATCGCACTTTAACAACAATCAACTCATCCTTTTTTTAAACATGCACAACACACTTTCCAACATACTCCCACCCAAGAAATCTTATTTTCTTGATCAAAGGTAACGACTTGGTCTACGTATAACCCGTCCTCTTCGATCAATAACATCTGTATTTTCCGATGCATAATCTTCTTGACTGTCATCCTTCAAGTCCACCATGTCAATAGGTGGAACAGTAGTTTCCGCTTCAGCATTTTCCTTCAGTTCACCAATAGAACTACGAATCTCTAGTGGGTAGAGCCGCTGAATCGGACGACATATCTTTCCCTTCTCTGTGCGTAGCCGAACCATTCGTTCAACTCCATCTATACCAGGAACCATTTCTTCTACCACCGCAAGGGGAAAATCCAAAGGTCTGGTATTGTCGTCTCCAATTAGAACTATATCGCCAATCATCAAGGAGCGGGAGTCACTCTTATGACGAGGAGCTCGAAGAAAACCTAAATATTCATTTCGAAAACGTTTTCTCAGGTCTCTCCGGAGCATTGCAAGGTATAATGCTCGTCTGGTTAAATCATCTCTTTCACTTCGAACTTCAGGCATACCATCTTCTATAAGATCTCTTAAAAACATAGCTGGGGTCAACGGGGCTACTTCACCACCTTCATCTAAGTAAGTTAAAGGACGATTATTCATAATGCTTTCACATTCACACAAGATTGTGTAAAGTTCTTGGTAATGTAAGGTGGCTTGTCCTAATACACGCCTCATAATATTTTTAAGAAGTCCTACTAAACGCTCCCACCAACCTCCCCACCAAGGGGCACTGGGCACATTGAATTTCCAATCAATTCGTTCACTTGTAGCAAATTTGTTTACCTTTTCCCAGTTAATTAATTCAAGTAGATTAGCTGCGCCAACAAAATTCGTTCCTCTATCGCTATAAATTTTCTTAGGTCTCCCTCTTCGTGCAACAAAACATCTTAATGCTTGTAGAAAACAATCCGTGGATAATGATAGGCATAATTCGAGATGAACAGCTCTGTATACAGCACAGGTAAATAAACATACCCAGGCCTTTTCTCCAGTTTTCAGTAAAAACGGTCCACAGAAGTCGACACCGCTAACTTCGAAACAGGCCGCATCTTTAATCCTGTTCACAGGTAATGGGGGTGTGGGTCGTTCTAAATTCTTAGTACTAAACCTTCGGCAAATGACGCACGAATTTACTACCTTCCGAACGATACGTCGTCCACTTATCACCCAAATCCTTTCTCTTATATTATTCAAGAGCAATTGCACTCCTTGATGTCCCATTCTTTCATGATGCTCACGAATGTATCGATAGACTAATTCGTTGCTTCCAGGCAATACAATCGGGCACAGGAATAATTCATTATCATCTCGATTAACAATACGGGTTCGCAATCTTACCAATCCTTTGGAATCTCTAAATGTTTCTAAGTTATTTCCATCGGTTCTTAAATCCGTTTGTATAAGCTTAAATATGTGTTCCTCTGCCATTCCTATTTCTTCTACAGTGAGATCTGGCTCGAGATGCTCACCTATTCGAAATTTTCTAAAAAATCTACGTATCCAAGCTAGAACTCGAACTGCTTTTTGAAACGAAGAGTAGCGTATTAAGAAATGGTCTTTCCAATTCAATTTTTCAGTGCAAACATGTACATTTTCAATCTTTCTCATTTCAAGACCAATTTCTATTTCATCTAAAGCTTCTGTTTCATACGGCCATTCTTCTAAATTTCGTATCCATGATGGTCCCTCCCACCATTTACATTCTATAAATTTCTTAATACTACATCCACGCGATGGTAAATCTGCCGGGTTATTAGCCCCAGGTACGTGCCTTATAGTTACATGGGGTGCCAAATTTCTGCGAATTTCTGTGACTCGGTTCTTTACAAAAATTGACCACGCTTCATTTCGCTTTATCCATTGTATGACTGTAGTTGAATCGGACCACAGGAATACAGGTTTGTCCTTCCAAGACATTGAATCTAAGACTGATTTTAACAATCTTACACCGATTAAAACGGCCATCAGTTCCAATCTTGGAATTGTTACATTTTTCGGAGCTACCCTAGCTTTGCTGGTAACAAAACGAACATCAATTTTCCTATCATCATCTTCGATTACTACAAGTATAACGCAGGCATAAGCAGCCTTACTGGCATCACAAAAGACATGAACACCTTTAATCGTTTCTACATTACCTAGTAATCGTGGAATTTTAACCTTCTTCAACAAATGAATATCTTTACACCAATCTGCAACTTCTTTTCGATCTTCTTCATTGATTGGGGTATCCCAATCTATTTTATTCTTCCAAATCTTCTGCATAAAAATTCTAGGAACTATTGACACAGGCGATACTATGCCAATAGGATCAAATAGCTTGTGAATCAAACTTAAAATACGACGCTTGGTGTCCCGCTTCTGCAACTTTTCTTCTTCCCACCAATCAATGTTTAATCCTAATTCGTCGGTGTCCGTAGACCAGAGGATTCCTAAAACTGTCACGTCATGTGTATCGCAACCGCTAAATTTCCATTTTCTCAAAATCATCGAAGCAGACTCCATAACATTTTTAGCTTGAATTAAAAATTCATCTAACTCTTCCTTAGAATTCACACTGCAGACTAGATCGTCCATGTAAAACGAATTACTCATCTTTTCAATTACCCAAGGAAATTTGAAATTGCTGTCTTTCAATTTATTCAAATAAGTCTTGATTACTGCACATAACAAAAATGGACTCGGTTTTAGGCCGAATACAACTCTGGTATGTCTTAATGAAATGATCTCTCCTTCCTCGTTCCACCAAAGTATTTTCAAAAAATCGCGATCCTTTTCCTCCACGTTAATTCTAAGAAAAGCCTTTTCAATATCGGCACAACAACCGATTAAATTTTCTCTAAATCTTAAGAGAATTATTGGCAATAATTCAATAAAATTTATGCATTCAGAGAGGGTATCATTCAACGAAGGCAAAAACCCGCTTTTCGCGGATGCATCGAAAACAGGTCTCACTCGGGTTGTGTTACTTTGTTCACGTACGACAGCTCGGTGCGGAAGATAGTGTCCTTTATCGTTATCTTCAGCTTCCTCTAAAATACCAGTCAGTATCCAATCTTTCAAAACTGCATCGTATTCGGTATATAATTCAGGAGTCATCCTACTGGATACACTTCTTAATCTCCTTTCAGCTAGAGCTCGATTGGGCGGAGGACGAACTTCATTTTTCCAAGGTAACGAAACAGTATAGCGTTTATTTTCGTACTTCAAATTCTCATAAAAATTTCTCATGATCTCTTCTTTTTTATCACATTGTATTGCATCATCTTTAATACCAAGAAGTTCCAATTCCCAGAATTTAGTTTCAAGGTCGTGTATTTCTTCTACGTGATTTATCGCAACACACGTTGAGAGGGTTCTAAGTGCAGAGGGTGTTCCTAACACAGTCCAACCAAATAAAGTTTCAAATGCCGTGAGATTTTTATCTAAAACTCGTCGGTTTCCGGTCAGTAGAGAACCGAAATAATCAGCTCCTATCAACATTTCTATTGGACCGCTACTAGCTCTAATTTCTGTTTCTTTTCCTTCAATTTTAACATTAACCTGCGTGGTATAGTTGGTTATTCGATCTGTTCCTAATACTTCCATTTCTAAAATAGTGTCTCTTGATTGAGCTGTAATTCTATAGCAATTCAGTCCTTGTTCTTTTGATGTTACTCCACTGAAGAGGGCAAATGCTACTTTTTCAGTTCCAATAATAGGCAATTGCAATTTTGTCGCGACTCTACTAATTATATATGATCTCTGAGATCCCGAATCTACAAGGGCTTGTACTTTGCGGACTTGTCCCCATCTTCCTCTAATTGGAACTAAAATTGTTGGCAAAATCGTAGCAACTGACATAACTACCGAGTTTGAAGATGTTTCCTTATTTTCGAATTTTTCAGGATTCGGTTGTACTTCACTCTTATTTTCTTCTTGTGGAACTCCTCTTCCAGTCGAATAGAAACGGTTTACAGGACACATAGGTAAAACATGTCTCTTCTGACAAACAGGGCAGTTTTCATTCATTTTACAATCTTTGAGGGTATGTCCTTTTTCGGTACATATAAAGCATGCTCCCTTCTTCAATAAAATAGCCTTCTTATCGTCTATTTTCATCCTAAGCGCCTTCCTGCAGTTTTTTCCTTTATGTCCGGGTATTTCACAAAAAATACAAATATTTTCAAAGGTTCTTTCTTTAGTATGTAGTACTTGAGCTGTACGCGTTCGTGTCGGAAAAGGGTCAAAACATCTAGAAGCTAATTTTACCCTCTGCTCTGTATCAATTTCTTTTTTCAGGAATTGCAGTAAAAATGTTAGTCGATCTTTAGATGATTGCTTCTCAACAGGTAATGCGCGTCGAAATGCTTTGAGCGTTTCCTCAGGAAGAGTAGATTCAACTAATGGGGTAATTATAGGAGCACAATCTTTCATATTAATTTGCAAACTTTCTAGAGAACGTAATGCTGTCTCAACCTTATCATGAATTTGAAGAATATCCTGTCTAGATTTCGACTGTCGTATGCAAAGCTGCAATAAATCTCTCGTATACAATTCGCCTAATAAATCTTGGTTTCCGTAACGTTCTTTTAGGGAATTCAAAGCCTTAGGATAATTTTCAGACGTTGGCGGGAATCCTAAAACTAATTCTTTCGCAGGTCCTGCCAGAGCCTGCACCAGATATTGAAATTTCTCTGCGTCGTCCAAAGAAGCTTTGTCGATCTTTTCAAAGTGAGCCCACCAGCCGAGCCACTCCTCTAATTCTCCATTAAAAACTCGTAAATCTAGCTTAGGTAACTTAATTCTACCTACTTCCGGTCTATTCGATACAGTAACACCAGCGGATGTAATTTCACAACTCGTATTCAATAAAGTGCAGCGGTATATTTCTTCTTGGTAGTGCTGCGCGCCTTCGGCTTCTGATATTAGGACTTCTTCCGAATCATTCGACTCGGCAAGAATATTCATCATTTCTTCATCCATTTTCGCTAATTCTTCACCTTTCATTTTCAACCAATGAATCTTTGTCTCAAACGTCGTCTGATCTCTGGTATCTAGCGCCAATTCAATTTCCTTAATAGTCTTTGTAATCATTGCTCGCATTGGAGCGCGCTTCCTGCTAAGGGATGCTTGGTTCATCTTTCCTTCGTTTTCTTGAGATTGCAAGATCTATAGACACGGTCGCCAAATATGTGGTTTCTTACCTAAAATAATAGGTAATCAATTCTAATTACAAATGAGTCCTGTCACGGATTAAGTTCAAATCGTTTTTTATTTTCCTTTTTCCTGTCAAAAATCACAATTTTATTATCTGACGTTTTTACAAAAAAAAAACTCATCGCACTTTAACAACAATCAACTCATCCTTTTTTTAAACATGCACAACACACTTTCCAACAGATACCATAAAAGTTTCAAAAAAAATTTGTTTTGAAAATATATCCAGTATTCCAGACACCCTGCATGAATTTTGTGTTTTTTTGAAAACATCACCGATTTGCACAAAAAATTGGATTTAGACTCTACTTATCCTTTATTTCAAGATTGAATCTGGGCCGGGGGTTTGTTTTCTTTCACTTCACAATTAAATTGAAAGCCCCAAGCGTGCCAGAAGTACTAAATATCTAGACAGCAGAGGTACAACGCGCAAATGTTACAGTTTTTCGGTACCATGGGCCGAAAATTTTTATTACTTACGATGATAAAATTCAAAATTTTAGAATTGGACTTTTCCTAAAAATTTTAAAATTCGCATTGCTGCTAAAGTCATAAATTCGCAATTAAATTTCTTGAAAACCGATGAAATAAGGCGAACGTATCCAAATATTCTTAATTATGACGCCAGCTCCCACTCAGCGTGTAAAACCGACTTTTTATCAAATAAAACGTAGGTATTCCTCCGATTTACCACCGCGTATCAAGAAAAACATCCGTGATAAAAGATTTTTGGTTCTCTGAAACAGCTGTTTCTGAAATATCCATGTCAGAGTGGAAAAAATGGTTTGTGCGAATAAAGTCATTAGCAAATTGAATATTTTTATCTTTTCATGTCACTTCCAGAAATTTTTTTCTGTACTACGGGCGTATACTTCGTTTTTGTATTAATTGGGGCACACGACAGGGGCGCGAAGCTGCGTTTAAAATGTAGCATGCGCTCCACCGTCGTTTCTGTATTGAACGAAATAGTCGATATAAATTCACCCGTTTCGTTTCAAAACAACTCGGCGCAAATTAGTAGGGGTGGTTTCTGTTGTGCAGAGAAATGGTTTAGTTTCCATAAAAACGTTACAGCCGGTGAACCCTAAAAGGTTAGTTATATTTTTTTTTCAATAGCAGTCTCTTCGTATATGTTCATTTTACATTTAAAAAAATGTCGATAAGAAGTTGGCATATGGTTGTCTCACGTTATGCAGATTTATCTTTTAATTAGCATCCACATGTGCGATATCTGGTTTACATGATCTTTTTGCTATTATGTTTGTTTAAATTTTTGGTTAGTTGCGATGCTTTTAATGCGAAGTACAGTCTTATAATTACGGTTTTGCTTCTGTCCACCTGTGGCGATGCATAACATAACATGTTAAAACGGGGAGGGTGATTGTTTTTTTATTGAATGTTGGTAAGTATATAATATACTTAGATTTAATGATTTATGCATGTTGTACCACGTATACATTACATCTTAAATCAAAACAAAATTTTTTTTTCATAATTAATCGAATTCATCCCTTTTCAGCAAAATCTAAAATACCTTTATCTAAACTAAACGCATTCAGTTACAGACGGTTTTGTTCCGATTTTGGAAACATATCTTATAGAGCACATTTAAATTAAAATTAAGGGAGATCTAAGTAAGGATTATTTTATTGTTAACTATTAATTTTTATCCGGAAAAGCTACCCTTAAAATAGTATTAAAAGTTTTTTTTTGGAGGAAAATAAAAGACATTCTGAAAGGATGCGTTCGAGATAAGAGAGTCAGCTCAATATATTTTTTATTTATTTGGCCAAATACGTCAAACATACTTTTATATGTGACATTACGATTTGTCCGATCGCATTAACTTACGGTTGAACAGGAAATCGATGCGCTGTGGTTTTTCAAAGACATTTGAAAGGAGCAATTTGATGTACGGCAACATAAAATATGAATATGGTTGATACACAAAAAAATGGAGACATCCATGATTCAATATTTAGAAAACTTATGAAATCTAGCATGCCGTGTGCCATATCACACAGAAAAGACCTACATTATCCTGTTCAATGTTTGTTTTGAAGATGTACGCGCCATACGATACCCGTGTAACACAAGAGACACTGCTCACCCTGACAGCACACGGCATGCTATACTTCATAAGTTTAAAAATATTTCGGATTGGTATAGGTGTCAAGTTAAAACCCTGATTACTTTTACGTAAACAGAGTTAAATACCTATATTACTGTGTATACAAGAAGCAAAAAATTTCATTTTTGAGTGCCACAGTGATCCTTATATCTACATCAAAACAACCTAGTTTGAGTATGTTGAACAGGCTGATATGCCTTCGATTGAAGCATGGACCATCCAGACCACTCTACCGTCATGCAACAGCATGAATTGACCGATCATGTGGCGCGTATGAAAAGGTTAATTGCCAAGAATTAAAATGTTGTGATGTGATTTAGTGGTTTAATTTTTATGGATCTGGTAGGTATGTAGCTTCAGCAGCACGACAAATTCCAAAAATCGACATTTGGTATTAAAATAAGGCGATGGTGTCATTACATTCACAGTTTACGTGAATTTTTACATGTGCGGTCGGGAATTTACCATATTTCGTGACAAAAGAATAAAATAATAATGTCTAGGTACATATGTTAGGTACAAAGAACGAAAACGCTGTTGCGATCAAAAACGCCAACAACGTGTTATGGTTTTTTTCACGTTCATAACACGTGTGACAAAAATATGTGTCCAGAACTCCTGACTATTGTGCTATACTACTGGGCGTTATAGATGTCCAGAAAAGCTATAACGTATTCTACAAACTTTTAGTTCAAATTGTACGTAGTGATTTCTAAGGTGAAACAAATGCATACCTAAACCAGACATCTCCAGCATAAGGCCAAATTTTTGAGCCCACCCCCTCCTTTTAGGTACAATAAGTTCCAAGATACGACCATCCAACAATTAGACATTTAGGTTTGGCTCTTTAGGGTAAATGGTAAAACATCGACTAAAATTGTAATTATAGTGGATAACTATGGGTGATGAAATAGTAGCGCAAATATTTGGCATGAATTTAAGATCAAAACGAATTTGTAGTCCCAATAGTGTCTTAGTCATTAAAAAAAAACGGAAAATATGTATTTAATATTGATACCAGTTGATGAGTTTACCTATCCATCTGCCAAGAACACTGCCTCATAGGTATTCCTACGTTCTCTTCGTCTGTAAACAAACGGACCTCTTCGGGATACATCAACAACACCTGGATACATTCGCTGTTTTACAGCGGTACCGTCATACGGTAATACTGCAGCTAAACTTTCGATGTTGGACCTCTGTATTCCAGTTCGATAATCGCAGATTTGTATTTTGCTCCCAGAATTTGGACAGTATCATTGTGTTCGCTCCCCTATTGTAATTTCTACTTTGTCGTGCCAAATTAAGTAAAGAGGCCGTTTAAAATACTGTCAACGCTGTTCTATGCAAGTATAGCTAAAATGATTTCTTTTAAATAGAATCAATCTATTGTTATATGGATTTTTATCATAAATTGCTATACAAAATACCCCAAAACGATCGCCTCCTGTTTTTATACAATGCAGAAATTTCAAATAACTTACATTTATCGATGAGTCGCGGTTATCTACAAATTACAGTCGATTTTCTTCTTTTAAAAGGAAGCAGCAATTCAGAAAATTGGATAGTGGAACGCCTTGTGCAGTACAACTGAACCTTTTGTACCGTCTATTAAATTTTACTACTCTTTGAAGGCGAATGACATATAGCGTCTCGGAAAGAACCCATCATGCCTGACGCTGTAGCCAAAATCTGTACCTAAGGACGCCACTTCCTTAATCACCTAGGCTAGCAGCGCTGGACTTGAAATAGGTGCAGCAACTACCCTAATGTTACATTGATTATCGTAAAGCGGCGTGGTCTGAAGGACCTATAGTGGGAACACTACTACAACTCACATTCCTGTCGTCAAGAATTTAAATCATCTATCCTGCACCACCAAAGTCTTCAAACCACTACTATATCGCCTACGGTGTTAGGATCTTCACCATTTCTGGCCGCCCACTACACGAAACCCTTAAATATTGCGACCCAAGTTCACCCTGTATCATATTTCCAAAGCTGGAGAGTAGCTTTCGGGCTCGCCTCCTGGTACTACAAAACAAGAAAGATTTTGTCAAACCACTAATGCTCTTTATAGTTTATCCTCCTAAACTTCACCACTGGGTTTGCTGACTAACGAAAATTTTAAAAATCGAAACGAAGAAAATAAGTTCGCGGGCTCCCACTACATGCCCCGCCTAAGTGGCCACTTCTTTATCTTACCTAATCCACCTTTTCAACAAAACAAATAGTACCCCATCTTTTAAAACACAATTAGCAATCTTAAAAATAGTCAAATCGTAACCCAACTGTTCTCAGGTTTTCTTTATTTAAAATTAGCGTGCAATGCAAAAATGAAGATCCGTTCTAGGCGGGTTCAAATTATTAACACATGTTGACAATATGAAGGTCGTTATTCTTTAAAAGTTTCTTTTTTTACTATTCAAATTACCAAAGTTTTATTCTTTTTTACCCTTAAAGGCACGGTAATGAGTTGAACATACAAATATAAAAATGTGATTACATTATTATATGATATTAACGACACCAACATTCATGGGCTTCTCTACTAGCGTATTTCCAAAGAAGGTCGGCAATTTTTAGGAGATGCTTATGTGAGAATTGAAGCTTGCAGTGACGCGCTGCTATACGCGTCGCTTATGTGAGACTCGGCCTTTAACACGCATGAAGTAGGATTGGAATTCGTTATGGGTTTAAAGTTGTGGTTTTTGCATATTTAGTACTTTATTACGTCGGGACAAAAAAAATGGCACTGGATTTTTTAATTTACAAACACTTTGGTAGTTTGAAGATTTCCCTTTAAAAAACTATGGCGTTCCTTATTACAACTGACTGATAATTTTTATTGAAACATTTATTTCTAATTCTAAGCACTAAAACTGTATCTAGGTAATAGAGATTTTTCGTGCGCCATTAAACAGCGACAAAGTCACGTTTCGTTTAGTTATCAAACCGCGCAAAACAAAACACACATTATAGGTACACTCCGCTTTCGTATCAATCGTATATAACGATTTTAAATGGTTCCCAAAAACCCACCAGTATTTCTTAAGATAATAAATCAAGTTTACTCATATAAGTATTTATTTTTATTTTAAAAATTTTAGTTTGATTTCTTTTTGTTTAGATTGCCTCTTACGAAGCAAATGGATGGTGGCAATTCGGGGTGGCGGCCGCCTTCAGTTATATTTGTTCCACTACTTCTATGTGGCGGGTTCATTTTCTACATAGACGTCTTCCATTTAAAAACGTTTAGTGTAAATGCATCGTTTAAATTGTCGGCGCCCCGTTTTATTGGATATTCAAAGACGAACGATTTACGTGGATTTCTTGTTAAGACTGAAGCTTGTAGAATACCTGATATGGATCCATTCGATTCGTCTGTAAAACGGTACATCAGTAAACCCAAGCAATTTGTATGTAATAAGAATAAACCGCCTTTAATGGAAGCGAACCTTACGTACGTATACATGTTAAACGATTCATTATCGTCTTACCTAGTCAAAGACCTTAGTGCTTTAAAATGTTGTTATTCGCCTTTCTACCGCGTGGAACCAAGTTCAACACAAGGTGATACTAAAATTTCTTATAACAAATGTGTTCAATTTAACCAAAGTGCAAAAGTCGAAGATGACTTTATACGCGTTGCGTGTACGTATGAGAAAAAAGAAATTTATAAAGATTTCTTTTCGTTTGTACCAATAAAACCTCGAATAACCAAGTTTTCTACGGAACCAAAGAAACTGAACGTGCTGATAATTGGATTGGATGCCGTTTCAAGACTGAATTTTCACAGACAAATGCCAAACACAGTGAAAACGCTGAAAAATATGGGCGCAGTTGAACTGCTAGGATATAATAAAGTTGGAGATAACACATTTCCTAATTTGGTACCGGTACTAACAGGCTTGCACGAGTCCGAGCTTAAAAAAGACTGTTGGCCCAAGAAAACTGACAAATTCGATAAGTGCAATTTTATTTGGAAAAATTACAGCGCGTCTGGCTACGCGACCGCTTTTGGAGAAGATGCCACGTGGATGGGAATTTTTAATTACGTGAAACGGGGTTTCAAACAACAACCGACTGATTATTTCTGGGGGCCTTTTGATTACGCTTCCGAAAAACAAATCGGCAACGCTCATGATATGAATGTAAATCAGTGTATCGGATCTAGGGCAGTATACAAGGTACTTCTAGATTACATAATGAAGTTTGTGAACACCATGACTCAAAGACAGATACCCTATTTTGGATTCTTTTGGGGTGCGAGCTTATCGCACGATTATTTAAACAAACCGCATCTGGGCGATGACTCCTACACTGATTTTTTTAATCAGCTGGAGCAATCGGACTTCTTAAAGAATACCGTTTTGATATTCATGAGCGACCATGGTATACGATGGGGTGATATTCGTTCGACTTACCAAGGAAGAATGGAGGAGAGGCTACCGTTTCTCTTTATAGTTCTACCCAAAGACTACCGTGACAATTTTCCGCAAACGGTTGCAAACATGAATAGAAATGTTAACCGATTGACTACCCCATTTGATTTACATGAAACCTTGAAGGACTTATTGAACCCCTATTCTTTGCAAAATGTGTTCATAAACGAGCGAATTGGCAAACGAAGTGGAAAGGAGAGAAGTTACAGTTTATTTGAGCCGATCCCAACAAACAGGACGTGTGAGAAGGCTGGTATTTCTTCTCACTGGTGTACCTGTCAAGCCAGTGCCTCTATCAGTAAGAATGATAGTGTTGTTATTGATGCCACTAAATTTGTTGTTAATTATCTAAATAATCAACTGAAGGGCTACGCAGAATGCGCGAATCTAACGTTAGCAGAGATTTACGATGCGCGCATCCATGCCGTTAAAGACAATCTAAAGGGCAATACATATAGCGAGGATTATACCGTGGTGTTCAGAACGGTGCCGGGTGATGGCAAATTTGAGGCTACCATTCGGAGATATGTAAGCAAAAAGGGTAAAAAAACACATTTTGATGTTATGGGAACTGTTAGCAGAATAAATTTATACGGATCTCAGAGTCTTTGTATGACCGATTTTCATTTGAAACTGTATTGTTATTGCATCACTTAGGGCCGATTCTACAATGCACTAAGCTATACCTAGAATAAACGTCCATGGTTGCGTTAGTTACCATTGCATCAACCAATAGGATACCTACACGTCGCTATGGCATTTATTCCAAGAATATCTTATTCTGGTGTACTTGTAGAACCGGACATTCCTCTATTAATTACCTAAGCGTACCTGTTTTGTTGTACAAGAAATTATAAGCAATGTCTGTTGCACATAAATTCGTGTATTGCTTGTGATTTTCCGAACGTGTGATATAAAATGTTCAGTGATATACCATAAGTACCTATATTAAAAGAAAGCCTATTGTTAATATAATTTTATTTACGAGAATATTAAGAATTCTATTTTTTAAGGGAAGCGTACCTGTATTATGTATCCTCAAAGTTTAAATAAAATAGAAGTGGATTATTTTGACTTTGATTGGATGAAGTTAAATCTACATACCTAGATGCACCTCCAGTTAAAGTGAATATTTCTCGGAATATTTAGGATGCTTTATTTCAATTAGAGAAGCAACTCAGTGATTTGTAAACTTTTTACAGGGTACGAAAATATCCGTGATGCTCAAGTTGAACGACACTGTATACACTATATTGCCAAATAAGGCGACTAATCGAACCCACTAAATTGGACGATTTTTGCAATTAATTCTGCATGAAACAAGGAATTGATTTTTTATCTTTATATCCACCATCTTCAAATCAATAAATACTGTCTGATGGATGTAAAAAATCGTCTGCTTTTTTATGATGCAAATGTTATAAGTTACAATCTAAACAATACAAACAATTCAATGTAAGTTTTGAATCGTAACTGAACGATTTCCCTATAATTTAATATACAATTTGAAAAAATAAATTATCCCAAAGTCTTGCGTGCATATAAATACGCATAAAGGATTGTTCAGAAAAATGCAAAAAATTCAATTTAATATACATAGAATTCAAGACGTACCTTATCTCAAACAGCAGGTGTGTGACATCACAGGAAGCTGCATATAAACGACTCGGATTTCCAGAATTTATGGAAAAGTACGATTTTCCAAATTTTTCACACTTTTATGATTGGATTCTTCCGTTTCTTCGAATTTTTCAATTCTTAAGATTTCTTAGATTTCCAAAATTCCATAACTTCTTTCGATTTTTCAGATTTTTGTGATTCGTCAGGTCAAATTCTTCCTCTTCTTGTAATTCTATCAACTTTCCAGATACCTACTTCAAATTCACTTCCTTCGAATTCGTTTACTTCCTCTGTTTGGAATCTTCAATTTCACGGTCAGGCTCATTGACCTTTTAAAGATTTTCAAAATCTTCAAAATTCATGATTCCTAAATTTCTTCAAATTTTTCAAGTATATCACACTCTTCGTATTGCTATGTGCAATGGCATACGGTCACTAAACCACCCACACAAACATATGTCCAGTTACTACAGTTAGCTCAATTTAAACTCAGATAGATACCTACTAACAAAATCTTAAGAAATAATTATAATTTTTTGGCGATAGCCATAGACCATAGAGATCGTTGACCATAGAGATCGTTTTCGCGTCATAGTAAAAATTGATGATTTTGACAAAGTGTTCCACTGAGTGAAGATTTGCGTATTTTCGCAGCGATAATTTACTCTTGCTAGGAAATCAGTACAATGCTACAGGAACTAATCAGGAACGGATGGGGAGCTAATCAGTTATGTAACCACAATTAGAAGAGATATCGTGATTAATTATTCAATTATAATCACTACATTTATTGTGCTACAATGCAGTATAAAATGAAACGGCAAAGTGATTTAGAAGTTACAATAACTTTATGTTTGAAAAAAGATAGTGCTGTCTATTAATAATTATACTTAACAATTATAGGTAGGTGCCCTTCTTCTTATTGTGAAGGTATATTCTGCTTTTAACCCTCGGTTCGGCTCCTTTTTCTTAACTTAATCAACTTCCTTTAAAATTAACTACAATTCATCCCTTCGGTAGTGGGCTATTTGCGCCCTTTTTTCATCCCTACGCACTGAATCCCACAAACATTTAATAGCAATATGAAAGAAGTAACAGCCTCCCATCCCTGGACCAGCCGAAATGTTGTTTACATTCTATCCTTTTTTGTTTCAAAAACATGAGACGCTATCAATACAATGTTACAAATCCGTTATTAATTTATGCCGTTAGATATTCGAAGACACTTTACATCCGAATAAAAATCCAAATCATATACTCGTACAATATAGACACTAATGTCGATTGGGTTTTCGACACTCTTTTCCTAAAGAAATCGACTCCTGGATAACGATTTTGAAAAAAAAACTGCTATATAAATGCGTTCTTGACACCAAAAGCCGAACCAAAAGCACTAATTCATTATAGCCTTTGAATATAAACCTGATTTTATTTCAAAGTTAGGTATAGCGAAATTTTGAATAAGTACCAATATTTACTTCTAACGTAAAAATCTTTTTTATAAGTAATTGTTATCAAACCTACACATTTACAAACCGTTTATGAATAGTGTGTAACATTTCTTGTTTGGTTTAATAAATTGATCAATGGGACCATTTTACACGCCAATAGTTATATCAAAAATAGCTCACCTGATGCTTTGCCTCACTTATAATAGCATATGATATATATGTTTTATTTTATTTATTTATTTGCCTTTATTTTTGAGTGGGCAGGGTTTCAGCCAAGGCTGCTTTACCAACCCAACCCACTATACATTTAGAAATATCCATGCTCGAACCCGGATTCGAACCAGGGACCCTTAGCACCACAGTCCAATTTCAACTGAACTGCGCCACACGGGCCGGTTCCGCAATATTTAAGTAGAATTATTTTTTAAGGATGCAAAGAAAGTATTATTAATTATAGAAAATAAATAATACACAAAATTAAAATACATTATTCTTTTGGATACACATATTTTTTTAGGTTTAATTGAAAGTTATTTTTAGCGTAGGCGTTCGTTTCAACTATTGCTGCTTTTCTCATACACTCAACCCTCTCACTGTTTTTGATACATGTTTGGTAATTATTTTAATTTTTTTCTTTACTAATTATCTTACCTATATGCTCTAACTAATACATGGTTCGCAAAAATACAAAAAAAAGTTTTTGAACTTTTTTTAATATTTTATAAATCTTTTTGACTTTTGCCTGATCCCGCATACTTATTTTAGAAACGGCTGATTATTCAAAAATCATTATAATGAAACTGTTGTAATTGCATTTTTTCTGTACCTTTATTTTTTTACATTTTAAGTTTGACCCAAAAAAAACACCTATATGTATTACCTACTTTTTTAATAACACTATATGAATTACGGAGACACCTTACAAATGTGTCGAAAATTGGACACCCTGTACCTAGCCCTGAACACCTTGTATTTTACATCTTTGGATTCTATAGACAATTTTACACTTGATGCGTTGTTTCTTTCATTTATACAAGGTTGGTCAAATAAATAATTAGTAATATACACGTAACATATTTTTTAGATTTAACTTTTGTGTTATACTGTGTAATCAGTTGGAAAATATATACAAGGCGCTTCAATATATCCCGGGCGAGGCACTGTGGTCCTGTTTTTTCCTTCTTCACACTTCACAGTATAAAAGTAATTCTGACAATTTCAAAATTGTATAAAATCCCTGGTATTGGTAAATTAGGCAAAATGATTTTGGTAGTAATTTTGAGTCAATGAAAACGAATATGATCCGGTCATTGTCACCTAGATTTGACAACCCACTCCGTATAGTTTACCAAAAATAAACAAAAGGTATAAATGATGGGTCTATACTCTATACAATCCAAAAATGTAAAAATATACACCATGTACCAGTTATTTCAAAATTTAATTAATGGTTTTAAATTTTAAATCTTTCCGGTGCCAGCGTGATTTTTTTTTCAGAACAGGATTTTCCGAAAACGGTAGGGGCACAATGGAAACGAGTTTAGTACATTGAGGTTACATTGAATTGATCCTTACAAATAAGTGCATTTCCTGAATGTTCACTAATTTTCCGAATGTGGCAAAATTTCTAAATCAACTTCCGTCTTGACCTCTTCTCAGAAAGAGTGTACTACACATACATTATACAAGGTGAGCATGATAACCCGATCCCCTTTTAGGAAATACGCTAAAAAGTGAAAAACTTGATCCCAATTGCACATTTTTAGCGGTGCACGGATCGATGGGGGCTTTTGACATTTTATTTAGAACATCAAAATCAAGCTTCAGAAAAGAAAATGTCCTTGATTTCCGGCTTGAACCTTTTATTGTTCTAATTTCCCTAGACCGTGAATCTAAGGAGCGAAATCGGAAAAATGTGCAAAGTAGCTTGCTAAATGCCGATCTTTTACAAATTTTTCTTCGCACCGCAACCGAATTCTCAGAGAACTTACTACCAATAACACCCTTTTGTGCTCATGGGTAGCTATACAAATACTATTATACATTTCATTGTTACAGGTCACTGTAATAAACGAATGGATGGCGATGAACTACGTTGGCGACCACCTATAATCTTGCTATTACCAATTCTACTATGTTGCATGTTCATCTTCTACGTCGACGTGTTTCTCCTAAGGAGTTTTAAAATATCGTCAACATTCAAATTACCGCCACCACGTTTTGTGGGGTACGCGGAGAACGAAAATTTCAATGATTACCTCATTAAGACTGAAGGATGCCGAATTCCATATATGGACCCATTGGATCCATCCATTATTCAATTTATAGCGAAGGAGAAAAGAGTATCGTGCAATAAAAATAAACCTCCACTCTTCAAATCCAATTTGACTGCAATATATGTGATAGAATCATCGTTGAAGTCTTATAAGATACAGAACATAAGCGCCTTAGATTGTTGTTATTCGGTCTTAAAGCGGGTAGTTCCGAATTCCACAGAAAATGATAATCAAGTGGAAGATGGACCATGCCAAGCATTCACTAGAGATGCTGAGATTAAGGACGAATTCGTGAAAATCCTGTGCACTTACAACAAAATCAAAGTCTACAAGGACTTTTTCTCATTTGTACCTATCAAGCCCACCATCGCCAAAAAAAAATACAGCGGACTTCAAATCATGCCAATAAATGTTCTGGTAGTTGGGCTGGATGCAGTTTCTAGAGTCAACTTGCACAGACAAATGCCAAAGACGGTTCAGGTATTAAAGGAAATGGAAGCGGTGGAATTTTTGGGTTATAATAAAGTCGCCGATAACACTTTCCCGAATGTGATTCCCATATTAACCGGATTAGCCGAAAATGAACTGGCCGAAACGTGTTGGCATAGCACAAGAGAAAAGTTTGACAAATGCCCGTTTATATGGAAAGATTTCAGCAAAAAAAATTATGTCACGGCATTCGGGGAAGATGCAGCATGGATGGGTATGTTTAACTACGCCAAATTGGGTTTCATCACACAACCGACCGATTATTTTTGGGGACCGTTCAACTATCGCTCCGAAAAGGAAATAGGAAATCAGCACAAGATGAACGTTTATCAATGCGTGGGTTCGAGAGAAGTCTATCGGGTGCTTTTAGAGTATATCGCTAAATTCTGTACGACAATGAGCCAATCAAATATTCCCTTTTTCGGATTTTTTTGGGGTTCCAGCCTGTCGCACGATTATTTGAATAAACCGAAATTAGGAGATGAGCATTACGCGAACTTTTTTAGAAGACTAAAGCAAAATGGAATTTTAAGTAATACAGTTCTCATATTCATAAGTGATCACGGTATTAGATGGGGAGGTATAAGAGCTACGTTTCAAGGTAGAATGGAGGAACGACTACCATTCTTGTTTATGGCTTTACCATCAGAATATCGAGAAAACCATGCTCTTGCATACAGTAACTTAAGAAGAAACACAAGGCGACTAATTACTCCATTTGATTTGCATGAAACAATAAAAGACCTTCTAGACCCGTATGCTTTAACGCCGACCTTAATTCATTGTAGGGAGCAGATTCGCCAAGATAATAATGCACGGGGTTATAGCCTCTTTGAACTAATCCCAAACACTCGGACGTGTTCGAGCGCCAGCATTGCATCCCATTGGTGTACTTGTCAAGAGAGTACAAAAATAGACAGTAACAGCAGTGTCGCTCTGAGAGCTGTTACATTTGCCATCGATTATATTAACCAAAAATTGAACGGTTACGCTGAATGTGCCACACTAGCTCTAGCAGAAATTCACAATGTTCACGAACATTCGACTAAGGAACACATTGTGGACGGAAAACCCTACCATTTGGATTACACGGTTGTGTTCGAAACGGTACCGGGAAACGGTGTATTTGAGGCAACCATTCGAAAATACGTCAAAGTCGATCCAATCACATCTTATTTTAATGTTACTGGTACAATCAGTAGAATTAATTTGTATGGTACCCAAAGTTTATGTATGACAGAGTTTCATTTAAAGCTATATTGCTATTGTATATAATGCTGGGTTTAGTAAAATGTGCTGCAACTCAAATTAAAGGATGCAGTTAACTGATAATCTGTGATGTGAGCTCAGTCCGCCGTGAAATGGAGAGCGATGTGACTAGACTTTTCCGAAAATTGAGGGAAAAATCGTGATAATAGTTATGAACATACCTACACTAACCGTATATCTTGGATATAGTATTGGGTGTTAGTATAACTGCTTAAAACCAAATAGCAAAGAAGAAATGTAAAAAGTACGGGATTGGACAATTATCTTGGTATTCAACCACTGTTCTGGTAATGGTTCCTTTATGAAAACAATGCATCATCCTCAAAGGAATAAAAATTGCTGTTACCAGACTGGCGCTCCTCGTGCATCAGCATATACGTAAACAAATTTCAGTGTCTCAAGAAAAGAAATGTTTTATTTTCGGTCAAATCGTACGATGATAGGAAATGGCAATATGACAGTACCATCAGAAAATTGCATTGGAGCATAGGGAAAAAAAATGAGTATTCGGCATTTTACTCACCCCGTAGAACGTAATTGATGTTGAAATACCTTTTGTACGCATATCCAGTTAATTGCAATTAATGTTGTTGCTATGTTCTCTATATGAATAAATTTTATTTCAATATACGTCTTAAATAAATTGGAAGTTTATAACCAGATGAAGGAGCTAACCAATAAACACTATTAAACCGGCCCTCTCCGTATCATGCCAGACGAAAACACGATTCCTTGACTATCCTTTGAAATAACTAAACAAGTTACATTCAAAAACACCGTTTTTGATATTTGGTTAACGTATTCACTAACTACTTCATAATTTGCTTTACTAAACGGACCCACCCAAAGACAATTTAGATTTAGAATGGCTACATAAAACAAATGGCACAAAACTGCTTATAATTATCAGATGTCGGCGGCTGAATCGAGGGTTGAGAAGCAAATGCTGCCTTAAAATCGCCTTGCAATTTGAAAATCCGGGAAAAATTTTGAAGATAACGAATCGTTGAGGTTGCTTTAGCGTTTATTATTTACCGTAAACTTACGTCACTTTGTTCATCTTTTTACAAGTACAAAATTTATTAAATACAGTCGAAACAGCATTGAGAATCCTACTAATTTTTTCAAAAAGGAGTTTTCGCTTCTTTAGGATTATCGCACAGACTTTATTAAGTAACGAAAAAAAAATGCTCCTTGTCGAATATGATGCATTTGAAATTTGAAAAAGCGAACAAAAAATGATGATTTTTGCTTGCTTGACTGTTTTTAGTAGTAATTGGTTTCACACTCCCTGAATCTTGACTTCGATTCTAGAAGCTGGTCGATTTGATCGTGAGGTATTTTCTCAAAGCAGAGATGAAATCATGTCTTGTTTCACTGTTTCAGTAGGGATATATATAGTTAAATTTAGGAACATACCGCACATACCATATCGATAAAAACTTATGCATATGTTAGAGGTATATAAAATTTAAAATAACGATGTCTATTGTAGTACTATACAGGGCATTTTTCTTAAATGTATATACAGATGCCACCTGTTTGTACACGCACAACGCAACTATCACTATGGCACGCACAAAAACGCGCAGTTCGTATTCTAACTATACAAACTTGCCTCTTAATGGCGGATGGGCGGAGCTAACCGCTACTTGTCGTCACTGTTTGTAGTAGAGTCACTGTATGCGCTATAAACTGCCAAGGGGAGCATCTCTCGACGAACATAAGATGTTCGAAGAACCCTAACAGCCCAGCAAACTGACAAACGAGCACCTCTGCGCGATAGAAGAAACAAAAAAATCGCAAAAGGAAAAAGAAAAAACTAACAAACAAAAACGACCGAGGCAATCAACTAATGAAGATGAATTGGCCACCGTTGTGGGAAGGATGGCAATTCAATTTAGCAGTACGAACGCAAGCATCTAATAGAATCGAGAATTTTTAAAAGAGCAGGAGAAACTCGTCAAAATGTTTACGGAATTACAGACTTAAAAAAAATTCAAAAAATGAGCAACGAGGAATGGAACAGAAGACTGGAAAATCTCAACACGGAAGACCGGTCACTATGGCAGATGGTTCAAGCTCTCACCGGGAGGAAAACCCGAACCAAACTACCGATAATAAAAAGTGGACAAGAAGCGGCAAGAACGGACGACGAAGAAGCAGGGGTACTCGAAAAACAGTTCAAACCAAACGAATACAACAAGGGCGAAGAACTTACAACCAGGGCTGTAGTCAGAGGCACCGAGTGAGGGGGGTGTATGCAATAAAAAATGCCGACTTCAATAAAAATTCAAAATTAAACGACAGCATTTTAACGCTGCCCATTGTGACACTATTTTTTCCAAATGTATACTGTCTGCTATATCTTTTTCGGATTACTTAGAACCAATAAGGCAGTTAGCCAATTATCCGCCATAGAGGAACGCAAATGATTTTTTATTAAACTATATAATAAATACCAAAGTAATAATAATAATAATTATTATTTTATGATTTGTCATTATACAGAGTGCTCTTTTTTCGCGACTGTCATGGATATGGATTCTATTTTATTTCTATTTGCACGAAAACCGAGTCAAAGTGGGACGTTTACAAGACTTTTACAGAGGAATTTGATAAATATGGTCAGAATGGCATAGAACTTTTTTTTGCTTTAGGGTCGCCAAATTTCATCTTATGATCTTTCATCAGAGTTATTTTTCTCTGACGTGCCATAGCTTTTAATTTACTACTTTGATTTTACCAAAATACCTTATTATTCAATTTTCACGCTTGCTTTAGAAATTGCAGTCAAACTCATTTGCTAATTTGTTTTGGTAGTTGACATTTATAATCAAAATAATTAATAAAAATGTCGTTTTAAATGTAGTAAAGTAAAGCGTTCTTTTGGCAAGATTTTATTATATATTATTATTAAGTTAAAAGTAGTAATCTATCCGAAACCGATTTTTGTCTAAAAGTGACAATTGAATAATTAAGTGTTATATTTAAAATGTAATATAGAAATCCATAGTAAATTCTTTATTAAAAAAATCTAAAAATTCAATGTGACCCCTACGTTCAAAACAAATTCAAAAATAATGTCATAGTCTAAACCGCCCATTTCTCAAGTAGGTATATTCGTTTTTTTTAAGACAGAATTATTAAAACGCAGAATTCAGTTCTTTTTAATTATTGAGCTTTACCCCAATTTGACCATTAGTTTTCAACATAAGAGATCCCATCGTCAGGCGCTAAAAATGACCACCCTGTATACTTATCTACCATCTATCCCTATCAGACCCATGCAAACATAACGGCTAGAAAAATTTGCGGAACATTTTTTAGCGACCTTTAGCCATGAAAGGTAATAGATCTACATACTCATAATATCAATGAGACTTACAGCAACTGAGGGCGTAATTTTTTTCCAATATTAATTTAATTAATTTAATTTGAATAGCGATTTGCCGAGTACCGACTAACTGAAGTTTTGCCGACTATGGTCACGCATTAGGGGGGGTGTGACACCTCCCATACCCCCCCATCAATCCGGCCCTGCTTACAACGAACTTGAACCGAATTAGGAAGAAGAAGAGAAGAAAGAACAGAAGACGAAGAAGAAACGGAAGAAATATCAATAGAAGAGATAATAAACAACTTAAAAAACCACAAGGCGCCAGGCAAAGACGGAGTAAAAAATCAAGCGCTCAAAAATTTGCCAACAGAGAGCACAGAGGAATTAAAAGAGATCGAACACGCAATTTCTACGACTGGATCACTTCTCAAAAACATGGCAAAAAGCGAAAACGATAATGATATACAAAAAGGGAAAACCCAAAAACAAAGCAACCAGCTACAGAATAATCAACTTATTATCGGCCATCAGCAAAGTCATCGAGAGGGCGACGATTAAAAAATTACTTTGAACGCATGAAAATAATCCCCATCACTACATTAAACAATGTACCAAGCTTCAAAACTAACGGAACCCATAAAGTACAAACAGGACATCTCCACGGGAACAGGAGCGCTATTCCTGGACATAAGCAAAGCACAAACTATGGCACAGAGGAAGTAATCTACATAATGAAAATGAAGAATCAAAACGCCGAAAAAACAATGTTTTGCAATATTTTTCGACTACAAAAAGATGAGGTTCAAAGAAAAACCGGAAGAAATCAAAATAGGATAACACCACATAGAATGGTAGAAAGAAGCCAAGTACCTGTGTGTGACACTCGATGAAGAAGTCAATTATTACAAGAGCCACAAGAAGAAGATGCCACTAAACACAAAACAGCTAGGTACAAGGAAATCTATACCCTCTAATCAACAGCAAACACAGAAAACCGAACAATTATTATAAAAACATAAATAATACCGGCGGTCGCAGGAGAAGGCACTCCCGAGAGAACACTTAGAAGAAAGAGCTGTAGAGACCGCTCAACAAGATAATAAGAACAACGATCGCAGCACGCTGCTACGTCTCGAACGCACAGATAAGGAATGAAGTAAAACTCGAATCAATAGAAGAAAAAATAAACAAACAAGCCACGAGCGAAATAGAAAAAAAATGTTTCAAAACCCACTCATGGGTGTTGTCGCGTAACACAGTAGGTACTGTAAATGATCAGTAATGGGCAAATATAGACCATATAGCAGCTATCAATTAGTGAAAACCCGAAGTATCTAGGTGGTCCAGGGTCCGAGATCTGGAAGGAACAGACAGACAGACCACAGAAAATTGGGCATATAAGCGTTACTGAGAACTTCGTTGTGTTACGCGAAAAATGCAACACCACAAAAACGCAGAAATAAGACAAATAACAGAAATCAAACAAAAACTACATACACAATCACTAATGCAGTGGAAACGAAGAAACGGCGAAGAACAAACGCCCCCCCCCCCCCAAACACCAACAAATGATGATATGAACCTCAACGGACACGGGACCAGGCGATAGCATTGAATTTAAATTCAATGGCGATAGTATTGAATAAGCACTTTTCAATGGCGATATTTGAAATCCACTAAACAAGTAGCGACATTGAGTTTATACTTATAAATTCAATGGTAAAGGCTTTGTTTATTTAAAAAAATTATCAAAGTCCTCGTTTGAGATCGAAGGGACTTCAGCGCATTTTTGTGTGGCAGATCAGTATTCTATTAGCCACTTTCGATTCAACCATCAATAACAGAGCTTGTCAAAGGCTACTACATTCACTAACCGCTTCCCACTTTCCTCGTGCACCCGCAATTCGCTTTTAAAGATTTGACTCCACCATCAGTGAGATCGTGTCGCGGGCTACCACATTCCCTTTTACGGTACCCACTTCCGACGTCCCGTTCACCCGCAATTCGCTTTTGAAGATTTGACTCCACCATCAGGAAGATCGTGTCGGGGGCTACCACATTCCCTTTGACGGTACCTCCTTCCGACGTCCCGTTCACCAGCAATTCGCGTTTGAAGATTTGACTCCACCATCAGGAAAATCGTGTCGGGGGCTACCACATTCCCTTTGACGGTACCCCCTTCCGACGTCCCGTTCACCCGCAATTCGCGTTTGAAGATTTGACTCCACCATCAGTAAGATCGTGTCGCGGACTACCACATTCTCTTTGACGGTACCCACTTCCGACGTCCCGTTCAGCCGCAATTCGCGATTGAAGATTTGACTCCACTATCAGGAAGATCGTGTCGGGGGCTACCACATTCCCTTTGGCGTCGCGGTTTGAAGACTTGACTACACCATCAGTAAGATCGTGTCGCAGGCTACCACATTCCCTTTGACGGTAGCCACTTCCGACGTCCCGTTCACTCGCAATTCACTTCTATTGGCGGCACGAGAAAGAGAGACAGCGATTCGAGATTTACGAAACGTTAAACCGCGTGAGTTCGCAACGGAAGGTAAAAGGCGCCCGAAGTTGACTACTTCTCGAAGACGCGCGCGCGCGCCTCGCAAAAGGTCGTTAATTTCGCCCCTATGACAAAAAACAAAATTCCGCCACGCAGGAGTTGTACGCGTTTACAACATCTTTCCGACGACACCAATTTGAAAAGAATTGGACCAAAACTGTAGTAGAAGATAGGAAAAAACTGAAAAACCTTCACGTTAGTATACTACGCTCGAGGATGACGCCCAGATGTCGCCAACCCCACATCATGTAGCCATGTCCCTAAGGTTGACAAATTTCACGGCCCCGTAGATACACGTACACCCGTTGCCTTTCTACAAGAGTTCTCCTACGCGCCCACATTTGCTGCCAGCCAGCCAGCCAGCCAAAGTGAGATTAAAAGCTACTTTTTACAAATAAATTTGCAAAAATGCGCTAAAAATCATGTCAATCTATATGCCAATGGGATAGCTATAGGCAACCAACATTACACGTGGCAAAACGAGGGTTGTTTTAACATTCTTTCCACCCTAAATTAAATCCCTAACGTCAACGAAACCCGTTTTAAAACGATTTTTTTGCGAATTTTTGAGACCCCTCTCTTCTTAAGCGCAAACTTCTTGCGAATTAAATCTTGACACATACCATTGCACATACACTAGGTACATAATACTCCAGGCGGATTTATTTAACGCCTGTGCCCAGAAACTATTAAGACAGTAACCTTGGAAATAAGAAAATCTCTATATAGTAACACATTACCAGGCGGCATCAAAAGCTCTAGGGACGCAAGAAGTAAACTATGGTGATGGAATATATCGGAAACCTAAGCCAGTTTTTGGAAAATAATAACGTGAATCTGATATGGGTGCCCAAAAGCATACGCCCATTAAGCTGTAATGAAATTACCATCCGACTCGCCAGATGCCTTTTATAGGACCCCTACCAGAATTCTGCCAGGTCGCCTCGTGACTGTCAAGTAAAAACACCTCCATAATATGGGTCTTGAAGGTACATACAATTTGCAGGTGGTGGCAGAAGAAAGTTCTATGCATATACTGTGTCACTATGGTCAAGGCACTGATTCCTTGAGGAAATGAAAAAGCATCCGGAAATGCTGCTCCCCAGGATTCTAGATTTCTTTAAAGATATTGGACATCCTAAGAGTACCATATGAGCCTACATGAACCTGATAGCAGACCACGTCTGAGAATAATAATAATAATAATAATCGCATGTATGTTAATGATTATATTTAAAACAAAATATAGTAGCAAACAAGAAACTATTCCTTTTGGAAAACAATGGTAGGATCACTAAATCGTTGTAAACTTTCATCATATATATCTTCTTCAACTACATTATCATCTAGACCAAAGTATGTGGGAAATGCCAATGGTTTTAAAGGTTTACGCGTTGGCAAATTTGTATCATAAATGTACACGATTGAATTAGTGGCACCGGGAACCGCAATACCAGAAACCCACAGCACATTATGTTTGGTATTTATTCTCCACACTTTTAATCCTTTGGCAAATCGGTACCGATTTCCCATGTGACCTGGCATTTTTGTGCCCGGCCACACTCTTCCCTTCTCGCCACCTCCACCAATATTACCGCCTCTCCTGTGAGTTTTTGTAACCCCATGGGAAGCTGGCATGCCTTTAAAACCGTGACGTTTCATAACACCTTGAAAGCCACGATATTTCCTGAGTAACAGTGGCATTAGAAGTTGAATACTCTTACATATCAACTTACGTTAGCCCACGGACGTCAACGTAATTTCCCACACTGAAATGTTGGGCAGTGATCGGAGTACCTGTTGGCAAAACTGCATCGGGACTAATGAAAAATCTTGCCAAATACTTTTTTGGCATAAGCCCGGTATTTTTAAACAAGGAACAGTACTCCTTTGTCAAGTAAGTTGGATCTGTTGCCTGTGCCCCCAATAGTAAACAACCAGCTTTGTTCTTAATTCTAGTGGGTCGCTTACGAGGTGGATCGTATTCTTCGGGCGTATAATACTTGATTACATGATTATCTAGAACCTACGTCTTGAATTAGATATAATTAGCTTTGAGGATTATTAACATACTTGCAACAAAGTCGTGCTGATTTTCTTGCCTGTTTTAAGCCACAAGGGCAGCTCGCCAATTTTACGTGCGATAACACCGGTCCTCTTCAGTTTAGGAGTCCACTTGATAATGTTTTTTGGTAATTCAACTTTCGGAGGTATCTCATATTTATCTTTTATGACTTCTTGCACGAATTCTGCATTGTCTGCTGTTAGAAAGTCATCGTGAATCTGTAAATGTACTCATTTGGTATTGGGGTTTACGAACTCAAAAATTAAGTACCACACGATTTTTCTTCGTTAACCATGTTGGATGCCGTAATCTCGGCTGTGGGGCAACTTGTTTGTGTCGTGTTTGTATTACGGAACACGATTGTATACTAAAACCAGTGATTTAGATCGATTTGAATGTATTTTTCGTATAGCTACCTTAATGCTAAGAACTTTTCTTCTAATAATTTCATTGTAGGCTGCTTAATAATTTGAGACAAAGCCATTTTTTATAAACAATCAAGATTACAAATTTAAGGTTATATATGGATGGTATGCCTACCACAGACTCCACTGACATTCTTATGAAAATGACGGTTAGCGAATACCACAGATTACTTTGAAGGCCAATTATATACAAGGTGCTTTGGTATCCGAAACAATGCAGACAGTAAGCGTCCTATCATTGTTTAAGTTTAAACAATGGTTCTCCTATGTATACATCTATGGCGGTACTATAATAGCATTGCAAGCAATGGTAACGAATCCATATACGCTAGGTCTATGATTGGAACACGCACAATGCTAATGCACCGCACGATAAAGTTAGACCCTAATAAGATTACGCAAAGTAAAATAAATAATAGCTTCAGAAATTACCACGATTCCATCGAAATATGACATGAACTAGACTAGAGCATGGTCTATAGCTTTCACCAAAATTGCATGCAATTCTTTTAAGCCCGCTTGACATAAAGCAATACCACGCGCAAGAATTTGCAAAAAGAAATTGCAAGGTCAAAGCATTGCATGCAATGTTGCATATTTCAATTGCCACATATCTGCCAACAGAAGAAAAACAGATTTCTCAACAAAGTTGCTAACCTCAAATCACAATTAAATTTTGATTGCTTGAAGAAACATAAAAATTACAAGAATAACTAAGATTTATTTTTAAAAAAAGATAATCAGTGCGTCCCTCGATCAACATCGTAATTGTCGCCGATCCATTTCACTAGGTTGGTGACACAAAAACAACTAGATTTATCTCTAAAATTGCGCGGTTCATACAAGAAAAATAGCTCCGGTCCTATAAAAATTGTGTACAGTTAGTTAGTTACTACAGTTATGTTATTCAAGAGGGTATTGATTTTATTCGAAAGACCAAGACCAAGAAATAAGACCAAGTGAAGAACCACCGTGACGGAGCGCCCTGTAGATATTTTCAAAATTATGAACGCGCCAATTTGCATACAAAACAATATTATTTATACAACTTGCCCAAGCAAAGCAAGATAAAGGCCGCTTTACATACTGCAATTCTTTGTGCAATACAGTTGCAGCAAGTTTAATTGCAAAAATACTGTACATGCAATAATTATTGCACTTTGGTTTTACACGCGGCAATTTTCTTTTTGCAATAGTTTGTTACCAACATTCGCATTTAAAATTGAACTAAAAGCTTTATTCTATTCAAAATTCATCAGGTTATAATTCTGAATGCGTTTTGAGTAAAAATGAATAGACACTTTAATCGAAAAAAGGCAGTCGCAGCTTCAATTTGTGTAGTAATAGTAAACAAAGTCTAGTTTCAACGTTTGGGAATTCTAGAACCTGGCGTTGTCAATACTTTCCCCCAAAATATCACGTGCAAGTGCAATAAAAATCGCGCGCGACCGCTAACCTGCAATTGCAAGTGAATTGCCAAAATGAATCAGCTGTTTCTCAAACGCGCATGCTTCTGGGCAAGTTTTATTGTGTATTGCATGGTCTTGCATGAAGAATTGCAGTATGTAAAGCGGCCTTTAGAAAAGTTGTTGATGGCAGTTGTTTGGGGGGTGGTTTGATGCTTTGCTTCATTTTAAGGGGAGCAAAGTGGAAGAAACGTTTCAACTTTCAATTAAACATAACAGATACTACAATTACATAACTAGCCAACTAAATATTAGGAGAAACTAAAGAGTATATCATACGGTTTGGTTAAGCTGGTAGCTCTAGCCTCTAATTTCTTCTACAGGTAAACAACACTGGACCTACCATCTTCAGCTTGTATTAGCCCACATTACACTTTGTTCCCAGTCCAAAGTAATTTGTAGTACCTGTGTAAAGTGAATAATCGGAAGAAATGTTATCAGCTGTTCTTTGCAGTGTTTTTATGTGGTGAATTATGGTTTTCTTTTAGGATTAGTTTGAAGATGGCACCAAAAAAGAAGAAAAACACAAATGGTTCAAAATCTAGCAGAAAAAGTCGTTCAGATACAAGCACTGATACACAGAAAACCGATTTTATCAACTTTGAAAAGAAGCCAAATCTCAAAAACTTTGGTAAATATCGATCTCTTTTAGAAAATCCAGAGGAAGCTCAAAGTATAGACTGTCCCGAGCACAATGAATCAGAAAATATCGATTTTGAAGAACTAATCTCTGTAAGTTGTATAAATTCATCGGGACTGAAAATGGATGATCAATTTACTGATCCGGCCATACATATAACTGAGATACGAGCTAAAGCGGATGCCGATTGCCTAGCGACAGATATATCTTCGCAACTGTCTAACTTGGTAGTAACAGGAGACACCAAGCATGTTGATCGAGATGTTGGTGTAAAATGTGAGATGGATGCGACACAAATAGAGTTGTCTGATCATATTTTTAATGATAATGCGCAAACATTCACCGGTGAATGTGTTCCTGCAGAGATTATACCTGTAGCTAGTGAACAAGAAGTCGAATCCGAAGTTGTTATCGAATTCGCACCTTCTACGGGCATCAAGGATGAAACTTCTGAGAATATGAAGTCTGAGAAAAAACCAAAGAGTAAAAGTCGAAGTTCTAAGAGTTCAAAATCATCGAGAAGCAGAAGTACTGCACGAAAAAAGTCCTCTTCAACACCGAAACTCGAGTCCAAACCTAAAAAGGAGGCCAGTAGCAAACCTAGAGCGAAGAAGACGGATAAGGAGTTAATGGACGTTTTGATGAGCTTGGATAATTCAATAAGGCGTTCTAGTAGAATAAAATCAATTTGCGAAAAACAGACGCAAAACAAAAACGAAGGTAAGGGTGGAAAAGGCAGCACCGATTCAGACCTTTCCGAAAGCGGTCAAGCCGATGATAATATACCGACGGACGGCTCAAATCCTCCGAATCCAGTTGTGGAAAGTGAAGCGGAAGTTAAACCTGTGAAGGTGAAGTCACGTTGGCGGCGTTCCAGCGAATTAGAAATGGTAGGTATGTGTACGTAATAGAATTATCTTAATCTCAATTACGAACAGGAGGTGGAGGCTGATAAGGTTTTAAGTAGCGCTGAAGAAATTAAAGGTAGATTAAAGCAATTCATACATCTGAAAGAGAATCAGTATCTGACCGGAAGGGTCACTTGTAAAGAAGCTAGAAAGATGGTTTGCGATTGCATGTTGACGAATGAAGAAATTGAAAAGGGTGAAGTTGGCTGTGGGGAAGATTGTCTCAATCGCTTGCTGTTAATTGAATGGTAGGTATGACCCAAAGTCCTGTTTCCAGTAGAAAAATATCAATTTTGTGTCTGTTTTCTATTGTTTTTCAAGTAATGTAGTTTACTTTAGATACTTTTGGAACATGTCACAGTTTCCTGTTTCATTGATTGACATTGGTCTGTAAATGAGACATTGTACATTATTACTGACCTATTGCAAGTTGTCTCTGACACAATGAAATCAGTGTATGGTAGAACTATAGAGCATTGTTCCTTTTCAAGGCTCTCAGGGAGACGCAGATAAGTAGTACAGTCGATGAATGTTACTCGAGTTTTTATTATCTTAAGACCTACAATTCAAGCTCATCTTCCCGTTTTCTCTAAGTCAATTTTTTAGATCATATAAAATATACTTGTTTGGAGGCACTACAAGCTAGAGATCTATCGTATCGGTATATCAGCTTAAGAAAATTAATAGCATGTATTTTATGTACCTAATAATAATACTTTAAAGAAATTAAAACAAAAACATTAAATAAAAAACAACCCTAAACAAATGAAATTGTTCTACAAATAAGGGTTTTGAGTTGGTCAAAAAGTACATGGTCATAGAATATTAATTAAAAGCATTGTATGGGCATTGAGGTAATGCGTTTGGACTTTTTCTCACTGAAATTGGTGTATAAATAATGATTTTTTTATTGATAGAAACGTCACTCTAAACTTGACTTATGCGCTGGAAACGTGCACTTATACCTTTATAATTTTGTTTGACAGTTCTGAATACGAAGTTGTATATACACTATCTTTACAAAGACAGTTATGACATGGAATTTCTTTGATGATAGTCTCTTCGGGACTAGATCCCAGAAAACCCATTTAAATCAGCTGCTAACAAAACTGTTGTTTTCACAATATTATTACCTAAGAAAACTATGGTTGTCCGGCAACGGTAGATAACAAACAACGTCAATGAAAAACTTCCCTACTTCCAAAATTCGAAAAGAATTTCATATAATTAACGGGACGTGGCAACATGATAACCAATCAGAACTCAGTTTCCTGACGCTCCTGTAGTCACGTAGGTGTCAAAATTTTACGCGGAATTGTCTTATCTCAGATAACAATTTTCTAAGATTCTTATCGCTACTCACAATACACTTACAATGGTATGCTCTTGGGCATCTAGCGTGCCGTCACGTGCGAACAAAACCACAGAATATAGAGCAAAATTAGCGACAAATCACACTGATTTGTGTAGGGATCGTCGCGTCGGGTATTTCTGGAATTTCGAGATCTCTAATCAAAAATATTGGCCCTAAACATGAAGTGCGGCTTTTTCAGTAACTATTATGTAATTAATGCGTTATCAAAAGATCGAATCTCTCCTCTGTTCAGAACAAATACAGGCTATAGAACTAAACAGCAACGGAAAGACCACTTACTTACTTACTGTAACACCATTTTTGTTAATTTTGTCATTACGACGACTTGCAACAATCCATTTTTGAGAAAAGTCTTCAATTTTCCGAAATCGAAAGTATTTTATTTCCGTTCCTTTTGTTTTTGTATTAGAATTGCCCCATTGAGCCACTACACAAGCGGGCATTTTGGAATTTTCACTAATGATTAATTAGCTATCAACAAATTAACCCTAAAGCTCGTACCCTAAAGCTCGTATAGTCCAGTCAAATAAGAAAAAATAAAAACATTAATTGGTAAAGATCTGAATTTTGGTAAACATGTTCATTAGTGTTCCCCATTGGACATACTAAAAGTCCCCGTCAAAATCTGTTGCGCTCGAGGCACCATCTTGGAAAAAAGGAGCACTTGTTCAGTTTCTTGCCTATATATCGGCAACAATTATTGACACGGAAAAATAGCTCAGATAAAAAATATAGTTTATTAAATTGCCCATAAAAAAGCACATTAACATTTTTTTGTATGTCCAATACTTTAGCTATAATCCGACATCGAATAGGGAATCAAGTATCCTGAGCTCTCGAAACAGGCGCGCAGATATTTTTTTACAACTTTTTACAAATCATTAAATTTATTGAAAACTGTGCCAGTATTTCTTATATATGAGAAGTCGTCGCACTCAAGCTTGGTATGAGACACGTTTAAAGGTTTCTCATAAAACTCTCTCTCTCTCTCTCTCAATAGAACTTTCATCTTCAATGTGAGCAGTTAAGCACTGAGTGTGGACTGGAAGCCTTCAGTGACCGAACAGGGTCAAGGAAATCGTGGACTCTCCTTCAACTCCACAGTTCGGGAGATTTTTCATATCCACAAACCTTCTGAACTTGCTGATTAATACGAAACGTGTGTTGCTGCGCCGCTGCAGCCGTAGGGGGTAACAGTGCGGTTAGATTCGGCTGACCCTTGTATGCGTATTTTCTGCAGGTCTGATAACGATGTCGGTTTAAATATCTCTCACTAGCAGGCACGTTGTATGCAGAGAACGGCGTTCTCCAGCTTCAGAAATCATTTCGTGGCCCCAACAATTTTAATCATTTTCGCTTACCTTTTTGAAAAAAAACATGATGTCGTATCATGAAACATTATGTCATTGCTAGAATGCTTTATCGCAAGACGATTCTGTTCATTTTTTGGTGCTTTTACAGCTTTCGGTGTAGCCATAAAAAAGACGGCCTCCTTCCTATAACTACGATGCGGGGCCTAAACGCTTTCTGACGCATTCAACGTGAGATTACAGCTAAAGTATGGGAGATACAAAAAAAATGTAAATACTCTTTTTTATAGGGAATTTAGTAAACTATATTTTTCATGTAAACTATTTCTTCGTATCAGTAATAGTTGCCGAGACATGGGCAAAAAACTGGAAAAGTGTACCGTTTTTCCAAGATGGCGTCTCGAGCGCAACAGATTTTGACAGGGACTTTTAGTATGTTCAATAGAAAGTCCCAATAAATGTGTATACCAAAATTCAGATCTTTACCGATTAATGTTTTTATTTGTCCAAAATTGCGCTAATTTGACTGGACTAAGACTAAAGTGACAACTTCACTCCATTATGACAAGTACTGAAGTGTCACTTTTTGTCCCGCCGGGATAAAATTTTACGAAAATCCCGGAAGGATGAAATTACTAAAAAAGCAATTTCAGTAGGTTGATCCACATTTTGTATGCGGCACTACTTCTTAAACGCATCGTACTGCTGTTCATATAGTTATTTGGATTTCGGTGGTATCAATTCTTTACCTACTTTGGCTGCTTTTTACCAATATCAAATACACCTTTGTCACCCACCACCAAAATTATGACACTAGCAATGACAGTTCCTATGGTAACTTGTTGAGCAGCGATTTTTTGAAAGAACGCGTTCTCTAACTCCTTGTGACTGAAGTAGTGGTCTTAATCCCTCAGGTAAATTATAAACTTTACCTTCGGGATTAAAAGTACTACTTCAGTCCCGCGGTATATAATATACTATTACAAATTGGATTGAATTCGATTCCTTTAGTTTTTACAAAATTAATGACGACTTTTTATTAATTGGGTGTACTTATAACGAGTGTCTCAAAAATATTCAAGTAACAATTGATAAGTATATTAAAAAGGCTGGGGTATGTTATATATGTAAAGAAATTTTTTTCGAGAATGGCATTTGTGCTTTTTCTTCGATCAAAATCTGAGGTCCTAAACTGCTTCAAAAAGTTCAATCATATGAAGGTTTTGTGTACAGACAAAGGGAACGAGTTTTGTGGTGGTGAGTTCACCAGATTTCTGGAAAGCAAATAGAATCGTGTAACCGACTACCAACGCAGATTGTCCGCAGTAAAAAGGTATTTCCGAGTGCATGAACAGATCTATCATAGAAAAAGCAAAATGCTCGCTCTTTGACGCACACATTAGCAAGTGCTTTTGGGCAGAAGCCCTCAACAAGGCCGTTTATCTGAGAAATAGATATCCACCGACTGGAATCAAGTGCACACCATATGAGCTCTGATATGGAAAGCAACCTGGGCTAAGACACATATGAGTTTCGATTTGAATGTAATGGTGGATGTGTCAAAACAAAAAGACAACAGACGCAGAAGAAGATTCCGATTGGATACTCGGATTATCAGCATTAGTAGAGACGTCATCATAATGCGGACCATCTATACAATCTGCCAAGTGAAGAGAACGTCGGCAGCGTAACTACGGAGTCAAATGCTCCAGTGGAGGCTGATCCGCAGCCTTATGTAGTTCCTGACGCAGCTGATGACAAAGACGATTCAGCTTCCACCTTGTCTTGGGAGATAAATGGGGTATTAACTGTCAGGTGTTATTAGAAAACTTCCTGAAAACGCGCAAAGCCATCGTTAGCAGTGGGAGTAGATTAATACGGTCCATACAGAATGATCAAACTCGAAATGTATCTTCAAAACTCGATAACGCGGAAACCATTGGGTTTAAGTACATTATGCTTCTTACAAATGTTGCTTAAAATTGAGAGAACAATTGAATATCGAATTATACACAGGGGGTTTTATTTAAAAAAATGAAATTTTGATGTGCGACCCCGTTATGAGCAACACTGTACAATTAAAATTATTCCTGATTAGCAGACATTGAAAACCTTAAAACTTGTGTATAACACTTTTTTTGATATCTTGTATCTTTTCCCCGATAATCGACAGCGACCCTGTATTAATATATTTATATACCTATTGCTACTAAGACAGGAGCTACTTTCTGACCCCATTACTGATATGTAATGTAATGATGAAATGATAATAAAAAAATAAACAAATAAATAAATAAATATGTTTTTGAGCTTATTCAAATAATGAGTTAATTAAATTAGATGAAATACTTATATTCTTGAAACTATTTGCTCCAGAATGAATTTAACGGACACTTCATACCTGCCCAGCTACCTCACTGTGGGGGACAGTGTGAGACTGCTTTAAAATCATGTAAGCAATACTTGTATACTTAGATTAGGGTTACTCAAATAGAAGCTCCCATCCCTCGTTGGCACTGGCACATTTTTTAGAGCATTTTTGAAAAAAAAATACACTATTCTATTCGTTATAGCTGGCTGGC